GAGGGAGGGAGGGGAGGGAGGGAGGGGAGGGAGGGAGGGGAGGGAGGGAGGGGAAGGAGGGAGGGAGGGAGGGAGGGAGGGGACGGAGTGAGGGAGGGAGGGGAAGGAGGGAGGGAGGGAGGGGAGGGAGTGAGGGAGGGGAGGGAGGGAGGGGAAGGAGGGAGGGAGGGAGGGGAGGGAGTGAGGGAGGGGAGGGAGGGAGGGGAAGGAGGGAGGGAGGGAGGGAGGGAGGGAGGGGACGGAGTGAGGGAGGGAGGGGAAGGAGGGAGGGAGGGAGGGAGGGGAGGGAGGGGAGGGAAGGGAGGGAGGGAGGGGACGGAGTGAGGGAGGGAGGGGAGGGAGGGAGGGTGGGGAGGGAGGGAGGGGAGGGGAGGCAGGGGAGGGAGGGGAGGGAGGGAGGGAGGGGAGGGACGTGAGGGAGGGGAGGGAGGGAGGGGAAGGAGGGAGGGAGGGAGGGAGGGAGGGGAGGGGAGGGAGGGAGGGAGGGAGGGAGGGAGGGGAGGGAGTGAGGGAGGGGATGGAGGGAGGGGAGGGAGGGAGGGGAAGGAGGGAGGGAGGGGAAGGAGGGAGGGAGGGGAGGGGAGGGGAGGGAGGGAGGGGGGGAGGGAGGGGAGGGAGAGGAGGGAGGGAGGGGAAGGAGGGAGGGAGGGAGGGAGGGGAGGGAGTGAGGGAGGGGAGGGAGGGAGGGGAAGGAGGGAGGGAGGGAGGGAGGGAGGGGAGGGGAGGGGAGGGAGGGAGGGAGGGGGGAGGGAGGGAGGGAGTGAGGGAGGGAGGGAGGGAGGGGAAGGAGGGAGGGAGGGAGGGAGGGAGGGAGGGAGGGAGGGGACGGAGTGAGGGAGGGAGGGGAGGGAGGGAGGGGAGGGAGGGGAGGGGAGGGAGGGAGGGGAAGGAGGGAGGGAGGGAGGGAGGGGACGGAGTGAGGGAGGGAGGGGAAGGAGGGAGGGAGGGAGGGAGGGGAGGGAGTGAGGGAGGGAGGGAGGGAGGGGAAGGAGGGAGGGAGGGAGGGAGGGGAGGGGAGGGAGGGGAAGGAGGGAGGGAGGGGAGGGAGTGAGGGAGGGGAGGGAGGGAGGGGAAGGAGGGAGGAGGGAGGGAGGGGAGGGAGGGAGGGGAAGGAGGGAGGGAGGGGAGGGAAGGGAGGGAGGGAGGGGACGGAGTGAGGGAGGGAGGGGAGGGAGGGAGGGAGGGGAGGGAGGGGAGGGAGGGAGGGGAGGGAGGGGAGGGAGGGAGGGGAGGGAGGGAGGGAGCGGAGGGAGGGGAGGGGGGGGAAGGGGAGGGAGGGAGGGGAGGGAGGGGAGGGAGGGAGTGGAGGAGAGGGAGGGAGGGGAGGGAGGGAGGGAGGGGAGGGAGGGGAGGGAGGGAGGGGAGGGAGGGAGGGGAGGGAGGGAGAGAGGAGGGAGGGAGGAGAGGGAGGGGAGGAGGGAGGGGAGGGAGGGAGGGAGGGAGGGAGGGGAGGGAGGGAGGGGAGGGAGGGGAGGGGAGGGAGGGAGGGAGGGAGGGGAGGGAGGGAGGGGAGGGAGGGAGGGGAGGGAGGGAGGGGAGGGAAGGGAGGGAGGGAGGGAGGGGAGGGAAGGGAGGGAGGGGAGGGAGGGGAGGGAGGGAGGGGAGGGAGGGGAGGGAGAGGAGGGGAGGGAGGGAGGGAGGGAGGGGAGGGGAGGGAGGGAGGGAGGGAGGGGAGGGAGGGGTCACGTGCTGAGCTACTCTACTAGCCACACCTCCGACGGTGAATCGGTCACCAACCCAGAGCCTGGACTAATCTCCATCTGTTCCATCTCACTCCCTTCCAACACTCAGCGGGGAGTGCGTGTCGCGTGCGTGTCACATGCATGTCACATGCATGTCACATGCGTGTCAAGCGCCGTGTCACGTGTTCAAGCGGTCACTCGCCATCTGACTCACGTGACTCCGTGTGTCTCTCTCTCTCCCCGTCTCTCACCGTGTTCGTTGCTGGTGACTTTATATTTTGTACCCCCCCCTCTCTCTCTACCCCCTCTCTTCCTACTCCATGTCGCTCTCTCTCTCTGTTTTATTTTTTAAACTACGACAAGTGCTGCATCTGCACGCAGCCCTTCTCGTTCGTAGTCAAACGCTCACCGTGTCTCTCCAACTCCTATCTCTCACCGTGTCTCTCTCACCGTGTCTCTCTCACCGTGTCTCTCCAACTCCCATCACTCACCGTGTCTCTCTCACCGTGTCTCTCCAACTCCCATCTCTCACCGTGTCTCTCTCACCGTGTCTCTCCAACTCCCATTTCTCACCGTGTCTCTCTCACCGTGTCTCTCTCACCGTGTCTCTCTCACCGCGTCTCTCCAACTCCCATCTCTCACCGTGTCTCTCTCACCGTGTCTCTCCAACTCCTATCTCTCACCGTGTCTCTCTCACCGTGTCTCTCTCACCGTGTCTCTCTCACCGTGTCTCTCCAACTCCCATCTCTCACCGTGTCTCTCTCACCGTGTCTCTCCAACTCCCCTCTCTCACCGTGTCTCTCTCACCATGTCTCTCCAACTCCCATTTCTCACCGTGTCTCTCTCACCGTGTCTCTCTCACCGTGTCTCTCTCACCGCGTCTCTCTCACCGCGTCTCTCTCATCGTGTCTCGCCCCCTCCATTTCTCACCGTGTCTCTCTCACCGCGTCTCTCTCACCGTGTCTCTCTCACCGCGTCTCTCTCACCGCGTCTCTCTCACCGCGTCTCTCTCACCGCGTCTCTTCTCACCGTGTCTCTCTCACCGCGTCTCTCTCTCCGTGTCTCTCTCACCGTGTCTCTCTCACCGCGTCTCTCTCATCGTGTCTCTCTCACCGTGTCTCTCTCACCGCGTCTCTCTCTCCGTGTCTCTCTCACCGCGTCTCTCTCACCGCGTCTCTCATCGTGTCTCTCCCCCTCCATCCCTCACCGTGTCTCTCTCACCGTGTCTCTCTCACCGTGTCTCTCTCACCGTGTCTCTCTCACCGTGTCTCTCCCCCTCCCTCTCTCACCATGTCTCTCTCACCGTGTCTCTCTCACCGTGTCTCTCTCACCGTGTCTCTCCCCCTCCATCTCTCACCATGTCTCTCTCACCGTGTCTCTCTCACCGTGTCTCTCTCACCGTGTCTCTCTCACCGCGTCTCTCTCACCGCGTCTCTCTCCCCGTGTCTCTCTCTCCCCGTGTCTCTCTATCACCGCGTCTCTCTCTCACCGTGTCTCTCTCACTGCGTCTCTCTCACCGCGTCTCTCTCACCGCGTCTCTCTCACCGTGTCTCTCTCACTGCGTCTCTCTCACCGCGTCTCTCTCACCGCGTCTCTCTCACCGCGTCTCTCTCATCGCGTCTCTCTCCCCGTGTCTCTCTCTCACCGCGTCTCTCTCACCGCGTCTCTCTCATCGTGTCTCTCCCCCTCCATCTCTCACCGTGTCTCTCTCACCGTGTCTCTCTCACCGTGTCTCTCTCACCGCGTCTCTCCCCCTCCATCTCTCACCATGTCTCTCTCACCGTGTCTCTCTCACCGTGTCTCTCTCACCGTGTCTCTCCCCCTCCATCTCTCACCATGTCTCTCTCACCGTGTCTCTCTCACCGTGTCTCTCTCACCGTGTCTCTCCCCCTCCATCTCTCACCATGTCTCTCTCACCGTGTCTCTCTCACCGTGTCTCTCTCACCGCGTCTCTCTCACCGCGTCTCTCTCCCCGTGTCTCTCTCTCCCCGTGTCTCTCTATCACCGCGTCTCTCTCTCACCGTGTCTCTCTCACTGCGTCTCTCTCACCGCGTCTCTCTCACCGCGTCTCTCTCCACCGCGTCTCTCTTATCACCGCGTCTCTCTCTCACCGCGTCTCTCTCTCACCGCGTCTCTCTCACCGTGTCTCTCTCACAGCGTCTCTCTCACCGCGTCTCTCTCACCGCGTCTCTCTCACCGCGTCTCTCTCACCGCGTCTCTCTCACCGCGTCTCTCTCACCGCGTCTCTCTCACCGCGTCTCTCTCATCGCGTCTCTCTCCCCGCGTCTCTCTCATCGTGTCTCTCCCCCTCCATCTCTCACCGTGTCTCTCTCACCGTGTCTCTCTCACCGCGTCTCTCTCACCGCGTCTCTCTCACCATGTCTCTCTCACCGCGTCTCTCTCTCCCCGTGTCTCTCTCTCACCGCGTCTCTCTCTCACCGCGTCTCTCTCACCGTGTCTCTCTCACCCTGTCTCTCCCCCTCCATCACTCACCGTGTCTCTCTCACCGTGTCTCTCTCACCGTGTCTCTCCCCCTCCATCTCTCACCATGTCCCTCTCACCGTGTCTCTCTCACCGTGTCTCTCTCACCGCGTCTCTCTCTCACCGCGTCTCTCTCACCGCGTCTCTCTCACCGCGTCTCTCTCACCGCGTCTCTCTCACCGTGTCTCTCTCACCGTGTCTCTCTTATCACCGCGTCTCTCTCTCACCGCGTCTCTCTCTCACCGCGTCTCTCTCACCGTGTCTTTCTCACCGTGTCTCTCTCACCGCGTCTCTCTCACCGCGTCTCTCTCACCGTGTCTCTCTCACCGCGTCTCTCTCACCGTGTCTCTCTCACCGTGTCTCTCTCACCGCGTCTCTCTCACCGCGTCTCTCTCACCGTGTCTCTCTCACCGTGTCTCTCTCACCGTGTCTCTCTCACCGTGTCTCTCTTATCACCGCGTCTCTCTCTCACCGCGTCTCTCTCTCACCGCGTCTCTCTCACCGTGTCTCTCTCACCGTGTCTCTCTCACCGCGTCTCTCTCACCGCGTCTCTCTCACCATGTCTCTCTCTCACCGTGTCTCTCTCTCACCGCGTCTCTCTCACCGTGTCTCTCTCACCGCGTCTCTCTCACCATGTCTCTCTCTCACCGCGTCTCTCTCACCATGTCTCTCTCTCACCGCGTCTCTCTCTCACCGCGTCTCTCTCTATCACCGCGTCTCTATCACCGCGTCTCTCTCTCACCGCGTCTCTCTCTCACCGTGTCTCTCTCTCACCGCGTCTCTCTCTCACCGCGTCTCTCTCTCACCGTGCCTCCCTCTCTGTCTCCTCGTGCGCAGAACTTCTGCACGGCCAAGACGCTGTACATCTCCGACTCGGACAAGCGGAAGCACTTCATGCTGTCTGTCAAGATGTTCTACGGTAACGGCGATGAGATCGGCGTGTTCAGCAGCAAGCGGATCAAAGTCATCTCGAAGCCGTCCAAGAAGAAGCAGTCGCTCAAGAACGCCGACCGTGAGTGGCAGACACAGAGAGGGAGGGAGGGAGGTGGGGGGAGAGAGGGTGGTGGTGGTGGTGGTGGTGAGGAGAGAGAGAGACACGGGGAGAGAGAGACACGGGGAGAGAGACGCGGGGAGAGAGAGACGGTGAGAGAGAGACGGTGAGAGAGACCGGGAGAGAGAGACGGTGAGAGAGATGGGGAGAGAGAGATACGGAGAGAGAGAGACATGGGGAGAGAGAGACGGGGAGAGAGAGACATGGGGAGAGAGAGACGGGGAGAGAGAGACACGGGGAGAGAGAGACGGTGAGAGAGAGACGGTGAGAGAGACCGGGAGAGAGAGACGGTGAGAGAGATGGGGAGAGAGAGATACGGAGAGAGAGAGACATGGGGAGAGAGAGACGGGGAGAGAGAGACATGGGGAGAGAGAGACGGGGAGAGAGAGAGACACGGGGAGAGAGAGAGACACGGGGAGAGAGACACGGGGAGAGAGACACGGGGAGAGAGAGACACGGGGAGAGAGAGACACGGGGAGAGAGAGACACGGGGAGAGAGAGACGGGGAGAGAGAGAGACATGGGGAAGAGAGAGACGGGGAGAGATAGACACGGGGAGAGAGAGACACGGGGAGAGAGACGCGGTGAGAGAGACACGGGAGAGAGAGGACACGGGGAGAGAGAGACGGGGAGAGAGAGACAGGGAAGAGAGAGACATGGGGAGAGAGAGACAGGGAAGAGAGAGACACGGGGAGAGAGAGACACGGGGAGAGAGAGACACGGGGAGAGAGAGAGACACGGGCGAGAGAGAGACACGGGGAGAGAGAGACGGGGAGAGAGACCGGGAGAGAGACACGGGGAGAGAGAGACGGTGAGAGAGAGACACGGGGAGAGAGAGATATAGGGAGATAGAGACGGGGACGAGAGAGAGACATGGGGAGAGAGAGACGGTGAGAGAGAGACACGGGGAGAGAGAGACGGGGGAGAGAGGACCGGGAGAGAGACCCGGGGAGAGAGAGACACGGGTAGAGAGAGACGCGGTGAGAGAGAGACACGGGGAGAGAGAGACACGGGGGAGAGAGAGACGGGGAGAGAGAGACAGGGAGAGAGATACACGGGGAGAGAGAGACATGGGGAGAGAGAGACACGGGGAGAGAAAGACACGGGGAGAGACAGAGACACACACACAGAAACACACAGACACAGAGAGAGACACGGGGAGAGAGAGAGACATGGGGAGAGAGAGAGACACGGGGAGAGAGAGAGACACGGGGAGAGAGAGAAGACACGGGGGAGAGAGACGCGGTGAGAGAGACACGGTGAGAGAGACACGGGGAGAGGGGGACACGGGGACGAGAGAGACACGGAGAGAAGAGAGACGGGGAGAGAGAGAGACGGGGAGAGAGAGAGAGACGGGGAGAGAGAGACACGGGGAGAGAGACACGGGGAGAGAGACACGGGGGAGAGAGAGAGACTTGGGGAGAGAGAGACAAGGGAGAGAGAGACAGGGAGAGAGAGGACACGGGGAGAGAGAGACACGGGGAGAGAGAGACACGGGGAGAGAGACATGGGGAGAGAGAGACACGGAGAGAGACAGACAGCGGGGAGAGAGACACGGGGAGAGAGAGACACGGGGAGAGAGAGACACAGGGAGAGAGAGACACGGGGAGAGAGAGAGACACGGGGAGAGAGAGACATGGGGAGAGAGAGGGAGAAAGACATGGGGAGAGAGACATGGGGAGAGAGAGACAGGGAGAGAGAGACATGTGGAGAGAGAGACATGTGGAGAGAGTGACATGGGGAGAGAGAGACATGTGGAGAGAGAGGAGACACGGGGAGGGAGAGACACGGGGAAGGAACGAGAGACACAGGGCGCAAAGGAGAGAGGGGAGAGACACGGTGTGAGAGAGGGAGACACGGGGTGAGAGAGAGAGAGACACGGGGTGAGAGAGAGAGAGACACGGGGTGATGAGAGAGAGATGAGGAGACACGGGGTGAGAGAGAGAGAGAGGACACGGGTGTGAGAGAGAGAGAGACACGGGGTGAGAGAGAGAGAGAGACACGGGTGAGAGAGAGACACAGGGAGAGAGAGAGAGAGAGAGGGTGAGTGAGTGAATTAGTGTGTGAGTTGATGTGTGGGTGTGTGAGTTGGTGGGTGAGTGTGTGAGTGAGTGAGTCGGTGGGTGTTTGATGGGTAACTTAGTAGGTGAGTGGGTGTGTGTGTGAGGGTGAGTGGGTGGGTAGGTGAGTGAGTGAGTGAGTGCCTAAGTGGGTGAGTAAGTAAGTTGGTGGGTGGGTGGATGAATGTGAGAGAGAGCGAGTGAGTAGCAGTTCGTGTGCGACACTATGAACCCGGTAAACCCGGGTTCGATTCCCGCCCACGGCCAAAACCACCGGTGACGATTATCCGAACCGGTCCTGGGCCTCCCCTAGGTCGACTGGGCCTCAAATGAGTACCTGGTGCGGTGTGTAAACATCGCCACCGGGGAGGACAAAGGCGGGGCCGGGCCCTCGTGTGCCGTGCCGACCTGATAGGAGGTCCTGGCTTTCATCACTTGCCCCAACAGACCGTTAAGGGGTATACGGGGGATCTTTGTCTTTGTATTTACACGTTCGTGTGTGCGTGTCCGTGTGTGCGTGTCCGTGTGTATCCGTGTGTGCTGTGTGTATTTACAATTGTGAATGTGCGTAGTGCGTAGTGTGTGTGTGTGTAAGTGTCTGTGTGTGTGTGTGTGTACCTACGTGCTTTGGTGTCAGTGGGGTTGGCGCAGTACGGGGTGCACAGGTGGGTGCATACGCCACGGTCATCGCAGTCAGTCAAACCCATGTCACCTGTTACTTCTACCCCATGAGGCTCATGCACCTAGCCTGGCACAGTAGGGGTACAGCTGGTGGTGCATCGGCTCAGTCATCTCAGTCAGACGACCCGTGGCACCTGCTGGGTCTGCCCCCGTGACCCTCCTGCCGGCGGGCGTTCGACGCTTCACGTGGTGGCCTCAACGTGCACCTAGCCTGGCACAAGCGTCGTGGCGACGTCACCACCAATTAGTGGCGAATGGCGGTTGTTGTTGTTGTTGTACGTGTGTGTGTCGATGCGTGTGTTATTTACACGTGTGTGTATTTACACGTGTGTGTGTGTGTACGGTGCGTGTGTATTACGCGTGTACGTGTGTGTACGTGCGTGTGTATTTACACGTGCGTGTACGTGTGTGTGTACGTGTGTGTGTGTCAGTGCATGTGTATTTACACGTGCGTGTATGTGTGTGTACGCCGTGTTTATGCGTGTGTACGTGTGTCAGTGCGTGTGTATTTACACGTGTGTGTGTACGTGTGTGTGTCAGTGTGTGTGTCAGTGCGTGTGTATTTACACGTGTGTGTGTACGTGTGTGTGTCAGTGCGTGTGTATTTACACGTACGTGTGTGTGTGTGTACGTGTGTGGCAGTGCGTGTGTATTTACACGTGCGTGTGTGTACGTGGGGAGTGGTAGTGCAGTGGTTAGCGCGCTGCGCTATGAATCTGGCGACCCGGGTTCGATTCCCGCTCACGGCCAACACCAGTGACGATTATCTGAACCGGTCCCGGGCCTCCCCTAGGTCGACTCAGCCTCAAATGAGTACCTGGTGCGGTGTGTAAACATTGCCACTAGGGAGACAAAGGCGGTCGGGCGTGGTGCTGGCCACCCACCCCCTCGTTGTACCGTTCCGGCCTTCATAGGTGCTCGCTAACAGCACTTGCCCCTACAGTCTGTTAAGGCTATACGGGGGAGCTTTATCTTTTATTTACACGTACGTGTGTGTGTGTACGTGTGTGTGTCAGTGCGTGTGTATTTACGCGTGTACGTGTGTGTACGTGCGTGTGTATTTACACGTGCGTGTGTGTGTGTATACGTGTGTGTGTCAGTGCGTGTGTACGTGTGTGTGTCAGTGCGTGTGTATTTACACGTACGTGTGTGTACGCGTGTGTACGCGTGTGTGCCAGTGCGTGTGTATTTACACGTGCGTGTGTACGTGTGTGTGTCAGTGCGTGTGTATTTACACGTACGTGTGTGTGTGTCAGTGCGTGTGTATTTACACGTACGTGTGTGTGTGTACGTGTGTGTCAGTGCGTGTGTATTTACACGTGCGTGTGTGTGTGTACGTGTGTGTGTCAGTGCGTGTGTATTTACACGTGGTGTGTGTCAGTGCTGTGTGTATTTACACGTGTGTGTGTGTGTGTACGTGCATGTGTCAGTGCGTGTGTATTTACACGTGTGTGTACGTGTGTTTGTGTACGTGTGTATTTACACGTGTGTGTGTACGTGTGTGTGTACGTGTGTGTATTTACACGTGTGTGTGTGTACGTGTGTACGTGTGTATTTACACGTGTGTGTGTGTACGTGTGTATTTTACACGTGTGTGTGTACGTGTGTGTACGTGTGTATTTACACGTGTGTGTGTACGTGTGTGTGTGTATACGTGTGTGTATTTACACGTGTGTGTATTTACACGTGTGTGTGTACGTATGTATTACACGTGTGTGTGTACGTGTGTACGTGTGTATTTACACGTGTGTGTCAGTGCGTTGTGTATTTACACGTGTGTGTGTACGTGTGTACGTGTGTATTTTACACGTGTGTGTGTGTACGTGTGTACGTGTGTATTTACACGTGTGTGTGTACGTGTGTGTGTACGTGTGTGTATTTACACGTGTGTGTGTGTACGTGTGTACGTGTGTATTTACACGTGTGTGTGTGTACGTGTGTATTTACACGTGTGTGTGTACGTGTGTGTACGTGTGTATTTACACGTGTGTGTGTACGTGTGTGTGTGTATATGTATATGAAATGAGTACCTGGTGCGGTGTCTAAACATTGCCACTAGGGAGGACAAAGGCGGTCGGGCGTGGTGCTGGCCACCCCACCCCCTCGTGTACCGTTCCGGCCTTCATAGGTGCTCGCTAACAGCACTTGCCCCTACAGTCTGTTAAGGCTATATGGGGGATCTTTGTCTTTGTCTTTGTATATGTGTGTGTATTTACACGTGTGTGTGTGTACGTGTGTACGTGTGTATTTACACGTGTGTGTGTACGTGCGTGTGTTCTGTGTTTTCTATCACGGTGGCTGAGGACAGGCCCAAAGACCCCAAACGCCAAGAGGCCAGCAACAGACAGCACCATTGAAGGTGTAATAGTTTGACAGCTGTGAACGCACGCCTTGAATTGAGCCTCGGGTTACTGTGATGAGAGACCCTTGGGGAGGTGGAGGGATGATGGGTGGTGGTGAGTTGGTGAGTGGTTGAGTCAGCGGGTGAGTGGACAGGTTAGTGGGTGGGTGAGCGAGCGAGTGGGTGGCTGGGTTATTGATTGGGTGGGTGAGTGAGTGGGTGAGTGATTGGGTGGGTGGATAAGTGACCGGGTAAGTGAGAGAATGGGTGGGTGAGTGTGTGAGTAGGTGAGTGAGTGGATGAGTGGGCAGGTGGGTGGTTGAGTAGTTGGTTGGGTGGGTTAGTGATTTGGTGGGTGATTGAGTGAGCAGGTGAGCGGGTGGGTGAGAGTGGGTGGGTGGGTTAGTGAATGTGTGGATGATTGGGTGGGTGAGTAAGTGGTTGGGTGGTTGAGTGTGGGTGAGTGATTGGATGGGCAGGTGAGCGAGTGGTTGGGTGGGTGGGTGAGTGAGCTGGGTGAGTGGTTGTGTGGGTGAGTGAGGGAGTGGTTGTGTGGGTGAGTGAGTGGTTGTATGGGTGAGTGGATGGGCGGGTGAGTGAGTGAGTGTGTGAGTGAGTGGGTGAGTGAGTGAGTGTGTGGGTTAGTGGGTGGGTGAGCGGGTGAGTGGTTAAGTGAGTGAGTCGTTAAGTGAGTGGGAGAGTGGGTGAGTGTGCGGGTGGGTGAGTGGGTGGGTGAGTGAGTAAGTGAGTGTGTGGGTGAGTGAGTGAGTGTGTGGGTGAGTGACAGCGGTGGAGGGCTACAGGGGAGGGATGGGAAGGAGTGGAAGGGTGAGGGGAGAGGAAGGGGAATGGGCGATGGTGAAGAGGTGAGGATTTCACAGAGAAATCGAGGGAGGTTATGGATGAAGACTGCTCAATGTCCTGGGACAGTAATGAGTCTATGGGTAGCAGTGTTGAGTCTATGGGTAGCAGTGTTGAGTCTATGGGTAGCAGTGTTGAGTCTATGGGTAGCAGTGTTGAGTCTATGGGTAGCAGTGTTGAGTCTATGGGTAGCAGTGTTGAGTCTATGGGTAGCAGTGTTGAGTCTATGGGTAGCAGTGTTGAGTCTATGGGTAGCAGTGTTGAGTCTATGGGTAGCAGTGTTGAGTCTATGGGTAGCAGTGTTGAGTCTATGGGTAGCAGTGTTGAGTCTATGGGTAGCAGTGTTGAGTCTATGGGTAGCAGTGTTGAGTCTATGGGTAGCAGTGTTGAGTCTATGGGTAGCAGTGTTGAGTCTATGGGTAGCAGTGTTGAGTCTATGGGTAGCAGTGTTGAGTCTATGGGTAGCAGTGTTGAGTCTATGGGCAGTGTTGAGTCTATGGGTAACAGTGTTGAGTCTATGGGTAGCAGTGTTGAGTCTATGGGTAGCAGTGTTGAGTCTATGGGTAGCAGTGTTGAGTCTATGGGTAGCAGTGTTGAGTCTATGGGTAGCAGTGTTGAGTCTATGGGTAGCAGTGTTGAGTCTATGGGTAGCAGTAATGAGTCTATAGGTAGCAGTGTTGAGTCTATGGGTAGCAGTGTTGAGTCTATGGGTAGCAGTGTTGAGTCTATGGGTAGCAGTGTTGAGTCTATGGGTAGCAGTGTTGAGTCTATGGGTAGCAGTGTTGAGTCTATGGGCAGTGTTGAGCCTTTGGGTAGCAGTGTTGAGTCTATGGGTAGCAGTGTTGAGTCTATGGGTAGCAGTGTTGAGTCTATGGGTAGCAGTGTTGAGTCTATGGGTAGCAGTGTTGAGTCTATGGGTAGCAGTGTTGAGTCTATGGGTAGCAGTGTTGAGTCTATGGGTAGCAGTGTTGAGTCTAGGGGTAACAGTGTTGAGTCTATGGGTAGCAGTGTTGAGTCTATGGGTGGCAGTGTTGAGTCTATGGGCAGTGTTGAGTCTTTGGGTAGCAGTGTTGAGTCTATGGGTAGCAGTGTTGAGTCTATGGGCAGTGTTGAGTCTATGGGTAGCAGTGTTTAGTCTATGGGTAGCAGTGTTGAGTCTATGGGTAGCAGTGTTGAGTCTATGGGTAGCAGTGTTGAGTCTATGGGTAGTGTTGGGTCTATGGTGCAGTGTTGAGTCTATGGGTAGCAGTGTTGAGTCTGTGGTGCAGTGTTGAGTCTATGGGTAGTGTTGAGTCTATGGGCAGTGTTGAGTCTATGGGCAGTGTTGAGTCTATGGTGCAGTGTTGAGTCTATAGGTAGTGTTGAGTCTATGGGTAGTGTTGAGTCTATGGGCATTGTTGAGTCTATGGGTAGCAGTGTTGAGTCTGTGGTGCAGTGTTGAGTCTATGGTGCAGTGTTGAGTCTATGGTGCAGTGTTGACTCTATGGGTAGCAGTGTTGAGTCTATGGGTAGCAGTGTTGAGTCTATGGGTAGCAGTGTTGAGTCTATGGGTAGGAGTGTTGAGTCTATGGGTAGCAGTGTTGAGTCTATGGTGCAGTGTTGAGTCTATGGTGCAGTGTTGAGTCTATGGGCAGTGTTGAGTCTATGGTGCAGTGTTGAGTCTATGGTGCAGTGTTGAGTCTATGGTGCAGTGTTGAGTCTATGGTGCAGTGTTGAGTCCATGGTGTAGCAGTGTTGAGTCTATGGTGCAGTGTTGAGTCTGTGGGTAGCAGTGTTGAGTCTATGGTGCAGTGTTGAGTCTATGGGCAGTGTTGAGTCTATGGTGCAGTGTTGTGTCTATGGTGCAGTGTTGAGTCTATGGGCAGTGTTGAGTCTATGGGCAGTGTTGAGTCTGTGGGTAGCAGTGTTGAGTCTATGGTGCAGTGTTGAGTCTATGGGCAGTGTTGAGTCTATGGTGCAGTGTTGTGTCTATGGTGCAGTGTTGAGTCTATGGTGCAGTGTTGAGTCTATGGTGCAGTGTTGAGTCTATGGTGCAGTGTTGAGTCTATGGGCAGTGTTGAGTCTATGGGCAGTGTTGAGTCTGTGGGTAGCAGTGGCTCCGTGTCTCTGTGTGTGTGTCTCTCCGTGTGTCTCTCCGTGTGTCTCCGTGTGTCTCTCGGTGTGTCTCTCCGTGTGTCTCCCCGTGTGTCTCCCCGCGGTGTCTCTGCGTGTGCAGTGTGCCTAGCGTCGTGTCTCTCCGTGTGTCTCCCCGCGGTGTCTCTGCGTGTGCAGTGTGCATAGCGTCGTGTCTCTGTGTGTGTCTCTCCGTGTGTCTCTCCGTGTGTCTCCCCGCGGTGTCTCTGCGTGTGCAGTGTGCCTAGCGTCGTGTCTCCCTGTGTGTCTCCCCGCGGTGTCTCTGCGTGTGCAGTGTGCCTAGCGTCGTGTCTCCCCGTGTGTGTCTCTCCCCGCGGTGTCTCTGCGTGTGCAGTGTGCATAGCGTCGTGTCTCTGTGTTTCTCTCCGTGTGTCTCTTCGTGTGTGTCTCCCCGTGTGTCTCCCCGCGGTGTCTCTGCATGTGCAGTGTGCCTAGCGTCGCGTCTCCCCCCTTGTGTGTGCGTGTCTCTCACCCCGCGGTGTCTGCGTGTGCCTAGCGTCGCGTCTCCCCCCTTGTGTGTGCGTGTCTCTCACCCCGCGGTGTCTCTGCGTGTGCAGTGTGCCTAGCGTCGTGTCTACGTGTGTGTCTCCCCGTGTGTCTCCCCGTGTGTGCGTCTCTCACCCCGCGGTGTCTCTGCGTGTGCAGTGTGCCTAGTGTCGCGTCTCCCCCCTTGTGTGTGTGCGTGTCTCTCACCCCGCGGTGTCTCTGCGTGTGCAGTGTGCATAGCGTCGCGTCTCCCCCCTTGTGTGTGTGCGTGTCTCTCACCCCGCGGTGTCTCTGCGTGTGCAGTGTGCCTAGCGTCGCGTCTCCCCCCTTGTGTGTGCGTGTCTCTCACCCCGCGGTGTCTCTGCGTGTGCAGTGTGCCTAGCGTCGCGTCTCCCCCCTTGTGTGTGTGCGCGTCTCTCACCCCGCGGTGTCTCTGCGTGTGCAGTGTGCCTAGCGTCGTGTCTATGTGTGTGTCTCCCCGTGTGTCTCCCCGTGTGTGCGTCTCTCACCCCGCGGTGTCTCTGCGTGTGCAGTGTGCCTAGCGTCGTGTCTCTGTGTGTGTCTCTCCGTGTGTGTCTCTCCGTGTCTCTCCGTGTGTCTCCCCGCGGTGTCTCTGCGTGTGCAGTGTGCATAGCGTCGCGTCTCCCCCCTTGTGTGTGCGCGTGTCTCTCACCCCGCGGTGTCTCTGCGTGTGCAGTGTGCATAGCGTCGCGTCTCCCCCCTTGTGTGTGTGCGTGTCTCTCACCCCGCGGGGTCTCTGCGTGTGCAGTGTGCCTAGCGTCGCGTCCTCCCCCCTTGTGTGTGCGCGTGTCTCTCACCCCGCGGTGTCTCTGCGTGTGCAGTGTGCCTAGCGTCGCGTCCTCCCCCCTTGTGTGTGTGCGTGTCTCTCACCCCGCGGTGTCTCTGCGTGTGCAGTGTGCATAGCGTCGTGTCTCCCCGTGTGTGCGTCTCTCACCCCGCGGTGTCTCTGCGTGTGCAGTGTGCATAGCGTCATGTCTATGTGTGTGTCTCCCCCCTTGTGTGTGCGTGTCTCTCACCCCGCGGTGTCTCTGCGTGTGCAGTGTGCCTAGCGTCGCGTCCTCCCCCCTTGTGTGTGTGCGTGTCTCTCACCCCGCGGTGTCTCTGCGTGTGCAGTGTGCATAGCGTCATGTCTACGTGTGTGTCTCTCCGTGTGTGTCTCTCCGTGTCTCTCCGTGTCTCTCCCCGCGGTGTCTCTGCGTGTGCAGTGTGCCTAGCGTCGCGTCCTCCCCCCTTGTGTGTGTGCGTGTCTCTCACCCCGCGGTGTCTCTGCGTGTGCAGTGTGCATAGCGTCGGGCACCAAGGTGGCGCTGTTCAACCGGCTGCGTTCGCAGACAGTGAGCACGCGCTACCTTCACGTCGAGGGTGGAAACTTCCATGCCAGCTCCCAACAATGGGGGGCGTTCTACATCCACCTGTGTAAGTGGGGGGGGTGGGTGGGTTGGTGGGTGGGTTGGTGGGTGGGTTGGTGGGGAGGAGGAGGAAGGTGGGGAGGGGAAGGGCAACAGAGGTCAATCGACCTCGGTTCTGTGGCCACCACCGCCACCACCACCACTGTTTCCAGCTCGCTTGCGTTTTATCCGCCCGGCGCTCGGCTCGTTGTTGTGAGCGTCGCTCCTCCGCCCTATGTTGTTGTTGTCGTTGTCGTTGCTGGAGGGTCGACTGCCTCCAGCTGCCCGAGTAGCCTCAAGGTGCACCTAGCCTGGCACTGCCCCCAGTAGCTTCAAGGTGCACCTAGCCTGGCACTGCCCAGTAGCAGCAGCAGCAGTAGCAGCAGCGTCCTTCACGAGCCTCCTCCACGGAGGCCGATCTTGGCACCGCTTGTAGCGCTCATCGGCAAGTCCACTCAGCTCCACGTCCTCCTGTGCCACGTCACTCCGTCTCTTCTCTAGCCCGTGTCACTCGCTCACTCACTCACCCACCCAACCACCCACTCACCCACTCACCCACCCACCCACTCATCCACTCACTCACCCACTCACTCAACCACTCACCCACTCACTCACTCACCCACCCATTCACCCACCCACTCACTCACCCATCAGCTCCGTCTCTACTCCAGCCCGTGTCACTCGCTCACTTACCTACTCACTCACTCACCCACTTACTCACCCATACACTCACCCACTTACCCACTCACCCACTCTCCTACCCACTTACTCACCCACATACTCATACACTCACCCACTCACTGACCCACTCACTCACCCACCCACCCACTCACCCTCCTACTCACCCACTCACCCACTTACTCACCCATACACTCACCCACTTACCCACTCACCCACTCTCCTACCCACTTACTCACCCACATACTCATACACTCACCCACTCACTCACCCACTCACTCACCCACCCACCCACTCACCCTCCTACTCACCCACTCACTCACACACTCACTCACCCATACACTCATCCACTCACTCACCCACTTATCTACACACCCATACACTCACCCACTCATTCACCCACCCACTCACCCACTCACTCACTCACCCACTCACTTGCCCACTCACCCATCTCTCATGTACCACACAGTGCTGGCCTTTGTAGGCGCTGCTACTGCTGCTACGAGCAACACTTGCCCCTTCAGCCTGCTAGAGGCTACACGGGGGACCTTTGTCTGTGTCTACCTTCATAGACACTGCTGCTGCTACTCGCTACTAACACCACTTGCCCCTACAGCCTGCTAGAGGCTACACGGGGGACCTTTGTCTGTGTCTACCTTCATAGGCGCTGCTGCTGCTACTCGCTACTAACACCACTTGCCCCTACAGCCTGCTAGAGGCTACACGGGGGACCTTTGTCTGTGTCTACCTTCATAGGCGCTGCTGCTGCTACTCGCTACTAACAGCACTTGCCCCTACAGCCTGCTAGAGGCTACACGGAGGACCTTTGTCTGTGTCTACCTTCATAGACGCTGCTGCTGCTACTCGCTACTACCAACAGCACTTGCCCCTACAGCGCTGTTAGAGGCTACACGGGGGACCTTTGTCTGTGTCTACCTTCATAGGCGCTGCTGTTGCTACTCGCTACTAACAGCACTTGCCCCTACAGCCTGCTAGAGGCTACACGGGGGACCTTTGTCTGTGTCTACCTTCATAGGCACTGCTGCTGCTACTCGCTACTACCAACAGCACTTGCCCCTACAGCCTGCTAGAGGCTACACGGGGGACCTTTGTCTGTGTCTACCTTCATAGGCACTGCTGCTGCTACTCGCTACTACCAACAGCACTTGCCCCTACAGCCTGCTAGAGGCTACACGGGGGACCTTTGTCTGTGTCTACCTTCATAGGCGCTGCTGCTGCTACTCGCTACTAACAGCACTTGCCCCTACAGCCTGCTAGAGGCTACACGGAGGACCTTTGTGTCTACCTTCATAGACGCTGCTGCTGCTACTCGCTACTACCAACAGCACTTGCCCCTACAGCGCTGTTAGAGGCTACACGGGGGACCTTTGTCTGCGTCTACCTTCATAGACGCTGCTGCTGCTGCTACTCGCTACTACCAGCAGCACTTGCCCCTACAGCGCTGTTAGAGGCTACACGGGGGACCTTTGTCTGTGTCTACCTTCATAGGCGCTGCTGTTGCTACTCGCTACTAACAGCACTTGCCCCTACAGCCTGCTAGAGGCTACACGGGGGACCTTTGTCTGCGTCTACCTTCATAGGCGCTGCTGCTGCTGCTACTCGCTACTACCAGCAGCACTTGCCCCTACAGCGCTGTTAGAGGCTACACGGGGGACCTTTGTCTGTGTCTACCTTCATAGACGCTGCTGTTGCTACTCGCTACTAACAGCACTTGCCCCTACAGCCTGCTAGAGGCTACACGGGGGACCTTTGTCTGCGTCTACCTTCATAGACGCTGCTGCTGCTACTCGCTACTACCAACAGCACTTGCCCCTACAGCCTGCTAGAGGCTACACGGGGGACCTTTGTCTGTGGCTACCTTCATAGACACTGCTGCTGCTACTCGCTACTACCAACAGCACTTGCTCCTACAGCCTGCTAGAGGCTACACGGGGGACCTTTGTCTGCGTCTACCTTCATAGGCACTGCTGCTGCTGCTACTCGCTACTACCAGCAGCACTTGCCCCTACAGCGCTGTTAGAGGCTACACGGGGGACCTTTGTCTGTGTCTACCTTCATAGACGCTGCTGCTGCTACTCGCTACTAACAGCACTTGCCCCTACAGCCTGCTAGAGGCTACACGGGGGACCTTTGTCTGCGTCTACCTTCATAGACGCTGCTGCTGCTGCTGCTACTCGCTACTACCAGCAGCACTTGCCCCTACAGCGCTGTTAGAGGCTACACGGGGGACCTTTGTCTGTGTTTCGTCCGTGGTGCAGTGGACGACGAAGAGTCGGAGGGTGAGGAGTTCACGGTGCGTGACGGATACATCCACTACGGGCAGACGGTGAAGCTGGTCTGCTCAGTGACGGGCATGGCGTTACCTCGCCTGGTACACACACACTCACACACAGTCACACACACAGTCACACACACACACTCACACACGTGCACACACTCACACACGTGCACACACAGTCACATGTACACACAGTCACACACACACTCACACACGTACACACGTGCACACACAGTCACACACACACACACACACGTACACACACTCACACACGTACACACGTACACACACTCGCACACGTACACACACAGTCACACACACAGTCACACACGTACACACACTCGCACACAGTCACACACACTCACACGTACACACACTCACACACGTACACACACAGTCACACACACACACAGTCACACACGTACACACACAGTCACACACACTCACACGTACACACACTCACACACGTACACACAGTCACACACGTACACACAGTCACACACACACTCACACACGTACATACACGCGTACACACCTCACACACAGTCACACACACACGTACACTCACACACTCACACACTCACACGTACACACTCACACGTACACACACTCACACACGTACACACACTCACACACTCACACACGTACATACACTCACACGCGTACACACACTCACACACTCACACACACTCACACGTACACACACTCACACAGACACACACACTCACAGACACACGCAGACAGTCACACACACACGTACACACTCACACACACTCACACACAGTCACACACACAGTCACACACTCACACACACTCACACACAGTCACACACACTCACGTACACACACTCACACACTCACACACGTACACACACTCACACACAGGCACACACGTACACACTCACACACACTCACACACAGTCACACACACAGTCACACACTCACACTCACACACACTCACACACAGTCACACACACAGTCACACACTCACACACTCACACGTACACACTCACACACTCACACGTACACACACTCACACGTACACACTCACACGTACACACTCACACACTCACACGTACACACACTCACACACGTACACACACTCACACACGTACATACACTCACACGCGTACACACACTCACACACACACACACACACGTACACTCACACACTCACACACAGTCACACACACTCACACGTACACACTCACACAGACTCACACACACTCACACACACTCACAGACACACGCAGACAGTCACACACTCACACGTACATACTCACACACACTCACACGTACATACTCACACACACTCACACACAGTCACACACACAGTCACACACTCACACGTACACACACTCACACACTCACACACTCACACACAGTCACACACACTCACGTACACACACTCACACACGTACACACTCACACACAGTCACACACGTACACACTCACACACACTCACACACAGTCACACACACAGTCACACACTCACACACACTCACACACAGTCACACACAGTCACACACTCACACGTACACACTCACACGTACACACTCACACATACACACACTCACACACTCACACGTACACACGTACACACACACACTCACACGTACACACACTCACACACGTACACACACTCACACACTCACACACGTACATACACTCACACGCGTACACACAGTCACACACTCACACACTCACACGTACACACACTCACACACATACACTCACACACTCACACACAGTCACACACACTCACACGTACACACACACTCACACACACTCACAGACAGTCACACACAGTCACACACTCACACTCACACACTCACACACAGTCACACACACAGTCACACACTCACACGTACACACTCACACGTACACACTCACACACGTACACACACTCACACACAGTCACACACACTCACGTACACACACTCACACACTCACACACGTACACACACTCACACACAGTCACACACGTACACACTCACACACACACTCACACACAGTCACACACTCACACTCACACACACTCACACACAATCACACACACAGTCACACACGTACACACTCACACGTACACACTCACACGTACACACACTCACACACTCACATGTACACACTCACACGTACACACACTCACACACGTACACACACTCACACACTCACACACGTACATACACTCACACGCGTACACACACTCACACGTACACACACTCACACACACTCACACACACACACTCACACACACTCACACACAGTCACACACAGTCACACACTCACACACGTACACACACTCACACACTCACACGTACACACACTCACACACTCACATACTCACACGTACACACACAGTCACACTCACACACAGTCACACACACTCACAGACACACACAGACACACCTACACACACTCACACGTACACACATACTCACACACTCACAGACACACAGACAGTCACGCAGTCACACGTACACACGTACACACATTCACACACAGTCACACACTCACACGTACACTCACACTCACACATGTACACACACTCACACACTCACACGTACACACACTCACACACTCACACACACTCACACACACTCACACACGTACACACACTCACACGTACACACACTCACACATACACACACTCAAACACTCACACACACTCACACGTACACACACACTCACACGTACACACGTGTACACACACTCACACACTCACACGTACACACACACACTCACACGTACACACACTCACACACTCACACGTACACACACTCGCAGACACACACAACACCGACACACACTCACACACAGTCACACACTCACACGTACACTCACACGTACACACACTCACACGTACACACACTCACACACAGTCACACACACTCACGTACACACACACTCACACGTACACACACACGTACACACACTCACACACACTCACACACGTACACACACTCACACGAACACACACTCACACACAGTCACACACACTCACAGACACACACAGACACACCTACACACACACAGTCACACACTCACACGTACACACACTCACACACACTCACAGACACACACAGACACACCTACACACACACACTCACACACGTATACACACACACACTCACACGTACACACACTCACACACAGTCACACACACTCACAGACACACACAGACACACGTACACACACTCTCACGTACACACACTCACACACAGTCACACACTCACACGTACACTCACACGTACACACACTCACACACAGTCACACACACTCACAGACACACAGACAGACACACGTACACACACACACTCACACATACACACACTCACACACAGTCACACACTCACACGTACACACACACGTACACACACTCACACACAGTCACACACACTCACGTACGTACACACACTCACACACAGTCACACACACTCACACGTATGTACACACACTCACACACAGTCACACACACTCACACGTACACACACTCACACACAGTCACACACACTCACACGTACACACACTCACACACAGTCACACACGCTCACAGACAGACACACCTACACACACACACACCCATGTGTGTGTATCTGTGTGTGTCCCTGCGTGTGTGTGTCCACGTGTGTGTGTCCACGTGTCCCGGACAGATAATCCGAAAGGTGGACAAGCAGACAGCGCTGTTGGATGCGGATGACCCGGTGTCCCAGCTGCACAAGTGTGCCTTTTACCTGAAGGACACGGAGCGCATGTACCTGTGTCTCTCTCAGGAGCGCATCATCCAGTTCCAGGTGAGTACACACACACACATTGATGCACACAGACACACACAACAACAACAACAACCATCATTCGCCACTAAGTGGCGGTGACGTCACCACGACGCTTGTGCCAGGCCATGTGCACCTTGAGGCCACGTGAAGTGTCGAACGCCCGCCGGCAGGAAGTCACGGGGCAGACCCAGCAGGTGCCACGGGTCGACTGACTGAGATGACTGGCATGATGCACCACCTGTGCCCCCTACTTTGCCAACCTGCTGTGCCTTAGCCACCCGGCGCTCCGCTCGTTGTTGTGAGCGTCGTTCCTCCGCCCTCCGTTGTTGTTGGAGGGCGACTGCCTCCACCTGCCCAGTAGCAGCGTCCTTCACGAGCCTCCTCCACAGAGGCCGATCTTGACACCGCTGGTACCAGTCATCGGCAAGTCCGTTCAGCTCCACGTCCTCCTGTACCACATCACTCCATCTCTTCTCTAGCCCGTGCCGTGCCCGTTTAGCCCCCTCTATCCGGCCGAACAAAAGCTGTTTGGGCATGCGGTGGCTGGGCATGCGGGCTACATGGCCCAGCCAACGCAACCTTGCCTGCCGGAGGAGCTCACCAATGGACTTTGTCCAGATCTTTCGAGGATTTGTGAGCTCCTCACACAATCCAGCCTGGTTAAACCCAGGATTGATCGTAGGCAGACCAGCTTAAATGTTTCTAACCAGCGAAGATGTTCCATTAGGGGGGTCCACGTTTCGCAAGCGTAGAGAAGGGAGGGAATGACCGTGGCCGAGAAGACCTGAAGCTTCGTGCGAAGCGATAGACCAGGTAGCTTCCACACAGCGTTACGCAACCGATGAAAAGATAATGCCGCTCGACTGATTCCGAGTGAGACCTCTGCTGTTAAACCTGTTATGACACACACACAAACACACACACAGAGAGACACACAGATACACACACACAGATACACACACACAGACACACACACAGACACAACAACAACAACCGCCATTCGCCACTAAGTGGCGGTGACGTCACCACGACGCTTGTGCCAGGCTATGTGCACCCTGAGGCCATGTACACACACAGACACATACACACAGATACACACACAGACACAAAGGTAACAAACACAAAGATCCCCCAAATAGCCTTAACAGACTGTAGGGGCAAGTGCTGTTAGCGAGCACCTATGAAGGCCGGAACGGTACACGAGGGGGTGGGTGGCCAGCACCACGCCCGACCGCCTTTGTCTCCCTAGTGGCAATGTTTTTATCCACCGCACCAGGTACTCATTTGAGGCTGAGTCGACCTAGGGGAGGCCCGGGACCGGTTCAGATAATCGTCACTGGTGTTGGCCGTGAGCAGGAATCGAACCCGGGTCGCCAGGTTCATAGCGCAGCGCGCTAACTGCTACACTACCGCTCCCCACACAGACACACACACACAGACACACACACACAGACACACACACAGACACACAAACACACAGACACACAGACACACAGATACACACACACAGACACACACACAGACACACAGACACACAGACACACAAACAGACAGACACACACACAGATACACACACACAGACACACAGACACACACACAGATACACACACACAGATACACACACACAGATACACACACACAGATACACACACAGATACACACAGACACACACACAGACACACAAACACACAGACACACAGATACACACACACAGACAGACACACACGCACAGACACACACACACAGACGCACAGACACACACACACAGACACGCACAGACACGCACAGACACACACAGACACGCACATACACACACAGACACGCACATACACACACAGATACACACAGATACACATTGATACACACAGATACACATTGATACACACAGATACACATTGATACACACAGACACACACACAGACACACACACAGATACACACAGATACACATTGATACACACAGACACACACAGACACACACAGATACGTACAGACACACACAGATACACATTGATACACACAGACACACACAGATACACATTGATACACACAGATACACACAGACACGCACATACACACACAGACACACACAGATACACACAGATACACACAGACACACACAGATACACACAGATACACACAGATACACATTGATACACACAGATACACACAGACACGCACATACACACACAGACACACACAGATACACACAGATACACACAGACACACACAGATACACATTGATACACACAGACACGCACATACACACACAGACACACACAGATACACATTGATACACACAGACACGCACAGCTACACACAGACACACACACACAGATACACACAGACACACACACAGATACGCATAGACACACACAGATACACACAGATACACAGAGACACACACAGATACACACACAGATACACACACAGATACACACACAGACACACACAGATACACACAGACACACACAGACACACACAGATACACACACAGATACACACACAGAGACACACACAGAGACACACACAGAGACACACACAGAGACACACACACAGATACACACACAGATACACACACAGATACACACACAGATACACAGACACACACAGATACACACAGATACACAGAGGCACACACAGATACACACAGACACACACACAGACACACACAGACACACACAGATACACACAGACACACACACAGACACACACAGATACACACACAGATACACACACAGATACACACACAGATACACAGATACACACACAGATGCGCACACAGATACACACACAGATACACACACAGATACACACACAGATGCACACACAGATACACACAGATACACAGAGGCACACACAGATACACACAGACACACACACAGACACACACAGATACACACACAGATACACACACAGATACACAGATACACACACAGATACGCACACAGATGCACACAGATACACACACAGATACACACACAGATACACACACAGACACACACAGACACACACACAGACACACACAGATACACACACAGACGCACACAGATACACACAGAGATACACACACAGACGCACACAGATACACACAGAGACACAGACACACACAGATACACACACAGACACACACACAGATACACACACAGATACGCACAGACACGCACAGATACACAGGTACACACAGATACACACACACACAGATACACACAGATACACAGATACACACACAGATACACACACAGATACACACACAGAGGCACACACAGATACACACAGACACACACACAGACACACACAGATACACACAGACACACACACAGACACACACAGATACACAGATGCACACACAGGCACACACAGATACACACAGACACACACACAGACACACACAGACACACACACAGATACACACACAGATACACACACAGACACACACAGACACACACAGATACACACACAGATACACACACAGATACACAGATACACACACAGACACACAGATACACACACAGACACACACACAGATACACACAGACACACACACAGACACACACAGATACACACAGATACACACACAGATACACACAGATACACACAGATACACACAGATACACACACAGATACACACACAGAGGCACACACAGATACACACAGACACACACACAGACACACACAGATACACACAGACACACACACAGACACACACAGATACACAGATGCACACACAGGCACACACAGATACACACAGACACACACACAGACACACACAGACACACACACAGATACACACACAGATACACACACAGACACACACAGACACACACAGACACACACAGATACACACACAGATACACAGATACACACACAGACACACAGATACACACACAGACACACACAGAGATACACACAGACACACACACAGACACACACAGATACACACAGAGACACACACAGATACACACACACAGATACACACACAGATACACACACAGATACACAGACACACACAGATACACACAGATACACAGAGGCACACACAGATACACAGAGGCACACACAGATACACACAGACACACACACAGACACACACAGATACACACAGACACACACACAGACACACACAGATACACACACAGATACACACACAGATACACACACAGATACACAGATACACACACAGATACGCACACAGATACACACACAGATACACACACAGATACACACACAGATGCACACACAGATACACACAGATACACAGAGGCACACACAGATACACACAGACACACACACAGACACACACAGATACACACACAGATACACACACAGATACACAGATACACACACAGATACGCACACAGATGCACACAGATACACACACAGATACACACACAGATACACACACAGACACACACAGACACACACACAGACACACACAGATACACACACAGACGCACACAGATACACACAGAGATACACACACAGACGCACACAGATACACACAGAGACACAGACACACACAGATACACACACAGACACACACACAGATACACACACAGATACGCACAGACACGCACAGATACACAGGTACACACAGATACACACACACACAGATACACACAGATACACACAGATACACACAGATACACAGATACACACACAGATACACACACAGATACACACACAGAGGCACACACAGATACACACAGACACACACACAGACACACACAGATACACACAGACACACACACAGACACACACAGATACACAGATGCACACACAGGCACACACAGATACACACAGACACACACACAGACACACACAGACACACACACAGATACACACACAGACACACACAGACACACACAGATACACACACAGATACACAGATACACACACAGACACACAGATACACACACAGACACACAGATACACACACAGACACACAGATACACACAGACACACACACAGACACACACAGATACACACAGATACACACAGATACACACAGATACACACAGATACACACAGATACACACACAGATACACACACAGAGGCACACACAGATACACACAGACACACACACAGACACACAGATACACACAGACACACACACAGACACACACAGATACACAGATGCACACACAGGCACACACAGATACACACAGACACACACACAGACACACACAGACACACACACAGATACACACACAGATACACACACAGACACACACAGACACACACAGACACACACAGATACACACACAGATACACAGATACACACACAGACACACAGATACACACACAGACACACACACAGATACACACAGACACACACACAGACACACACAGATACACACAGATACACACAGATACACACACAGATACACACAGATACACACAGATACACACACAGATACACACACAGGTACACACACAGACACACACACAGACACACACAGACACACACAGATACACAAACACACACAGACACACAGAGACACACACACAAACACACACACACAGACACACACAGGTACACAAGTACATAGATACAGAGAGAGACGCACACAGACAGTGACCATCCATCACGTCTCCGTGTCTCACCCCCACCCCCACCCGTGTCTCACCCCCCCCCCCCCCCGCCACCACCACCACCACCACCACCGCCACCCCCGCCGTGTCCCCCAGGCGACGCCGTGCCCCAAGGAGCTGAACAAGGAGATGATCAACGACGGTGCCTCGTGGACCATCATCAGCACGGACAAGGCGGAGTACACCTTCTACGAGGGCATGGGGCCCGTCAGCGCGCCCGTCACACCCGTGCCCGTCGTCGAGAGCCTGCAGGTGCTCACGGGGGTCACCGGGGGTCACCGGGGGTCACCGGGGGTCACCGGGGCGACGGGGGTCACCGGGGGTCACCGGGGCGATGGGGGTCACCGGGGCGACGGGGGTTGCTAGGACAGTCACGTAGGTAAAGTCACCCAACGTGAGTTTCACCCTACGTGACTTTACCGAATAGAACCAAAGAGTATGGATCCTTGCAGTCACGAAAGCTTCACATCTAGAAGTGCTAGGACAGGTTACCAGCCGGGTGTCCCCGTGTCTCCCCGTGTCTCCGCGTGACCGTGTCCCCATGTCCTCGTGTCTCCCCGTGACCGTGTCTCCCCGTGTCTCCCTGTGACCGTGTCTACGTGTCTCCCCGTGTCTCCCCGTGACCATGTCTCCCCGTGTCCCCGTGTCTCCCCGTGTCCCCGTGTCTCCCCGTGACCGTGTCCCCATGTCCTCGTGTCTCCCCGTGGCCGTGTTCCCGTGTCTCCCCGTGTCCCCCCGTGTCTCCCCGTGTCTCCCCGTGACCGTGTCTCCCCGTGTCTCCCCGTGACCGTGTCCCCGTGTCTCCCCGTGTCTCCCCGTGACCGTGTCTCCCCGTGATCATGTCCTCATGTCCCCGTGTCTCCCCGTGACCGTGTCCCCGTGTCTCCCCGTGTCTCCCCGTGTCTCCCCGTGACCGGGTCCCCGTGTCCCCCCGTGTCTCCAGCTGAATGGAGGCGGTGACGTGGCGATGCTGGAACTTACCGGACAGAATTTCACGCCCAACCTCAGGGTCTGGTTTGGAGATGTGGAGGCCGAGACCATGTACCGGTAATCTCGCGCACGCACGCACACATGCAGACGCACAGACATGCACGGACACGCACAGACACGCACGCACACATGCAGACGCACAGACACGCACGGACACGCACAGACACGCACACATGCAGACACACGGACACGCACGGACACATGCAGATGCACAGACACGCATGCACGGACACGCACACATACACGGACACGCACACATACACGGACACGCACGCACACATGCAGACGCACAGACACACACGCACGCACGGACACGCACACATACACGCACGGGCACGCACGCACGGACACACACACGCACACACGGACACGCAGACACACCCACGCACGCACACGCACGCCCACAAAGACAAAGACACCCCCTTATAGCCTCAACAGACTGTTGGGGCTATACATACACACAGATACACAAACACAGATACAGTGAGGGGAAAAAAGTATTTGATCCCCTGCTGATTTTGTACGTTTGCCCACTGACAAAGAAATGCTCAGTCTATAATTTTAATGGTAGGTTTATTTGAACAGTGAGAGACAGAATAACGACTACAAAATCCAGAAAAACGCATGGCAAAAATGTTATAAATTGATTTGCATTTTAATGAGGGAAATAAGTATTTGACCCCCTCTCAATCAGAAAGATTTCCGGCTCCCAGGTGTCTTTTATACAGGTCACGAGCTGAGATTAGGAGCACACTCTTAAGGGAGTGCTCCTAATCTCAGCTCGTTACCTGTATAAAAGACACCTGTCCACAGAAGCAATCAATCAATCAGATTCCAAACTCTCCACCATGGCCAAGACCAAAGAGCTCTCCAAGGATGTCAGGGACAAGATTGTAGACCTACACAAGGCTGGAATGGGCTACAAGACCATTGCCAAGCAGCTTGGTGAGAAGGTGACAACAGTTGGTGCGATTATTTGCAAATGGAAGAAACACAAAAGAACTGTCAATCTCCCTCGGCCTGGGGCTCAATGCAAGATCTCACCTCGTGGAGTTGCAATGATCATGAGAACGGTGAGGAATCAGCCCAGAACTACACGGGAGGATCTTGTCAATGATCTCAAGGCAGCTGGGACCATAGTCACCAAGAAAACAATTGGTAACACACTACGCCGTGAAGGACTGAAATCCTGCAGCGCCCGCAAGGTCCCCCTGCTCAAGAAAGCACATATACATGCCTGTCTCAAGTTTGCCAATGAACATCTGAATGATTCAGAGGACAACTGGGTGAAAGTGTTGTGGTCAGATGAGACCAAAATGGAGCTCTTTGGCATCAACTCAACTCGCCGTGTTTGGAGGAGGAGGAATGCTGCCTATGACCCCAAGAACACCATCTCCACCGTCAAACATGGAGGTGGAAACATTATGCTTTGGGGGTGTTTTTCTGCTAAGGGGACAGGACAACTTCACCGCATCAGAGGGACGATGGACGGGGCCATGTACCGTCAAATCTTGGGTGAGAACCTCCTTCCCTCAGCCAGGGCATTGAAAATGGGTCGTGGATGGGTATTCCAGCATGACAATGACCCAAAACACACGGCCAAGGCAACAAAGGAGTGGCTCAAGAAGAATCACATTAAGGTCCTGGAGTGGCCTAGCCAGTCTCGAGACCTTAATCCCATAGAAAATCTGTGGAGGGAGCTGAAGGTTCGAGTTGCCAAACGTCAGCCTCGAAACGTTAATGACTTTGAGAAGATCTGCAAAGAGGAGTGGGACAAAATCCCTCCTGAGATGTGTGCAAACCTGGTGGTCAACTACAAGAAACGTCTGACCTCTGTGATTGCCAACAAGGGTTTTGCCACCAAGTACTAAGTCATGCAAATCAATTTATAGCATTTTTGACATGCGTTTTTCTGGATGTTTTTGTTGTTATTCTGTCTCTCACTGTTCAAATAAACCTACCATTAAAATTACAGACTGATCATTTCTTTGTCAGTGGGCAAACGTACAAAATCAGCAGGGGATCAAATACTTTTTTTCCCTCACTGTATATACACTCACCAGATACACAAAGACCCCCCCGTGTAGCCTTAACAGACTGCAGGGGCAAGTGCTGTTATCAAGCAGCAGCTACAAAACCCAGAACGGTACACGAAGGGGTTGGGTGGCCAGCACCACGCCCGGCCGCCTTTGTCTCCCCAGTGGCGATGTTTACTACACACCGCACCAGGTACCTTATTGAGGCTGAGTCGACCTAGGGGAGGCCCAGGGACCGGTTCAGATAATCGTCACTGACGGTGTTGGCCGTGAGCGGGAATGGAATTCGGTTCGCTGGGTTCGTAGCGCAGCGTAGCGCTAACCGCTACACCCACCACTCCCCCACAGATACAGATACACACACAGACAGACATACAATCACACAGATGCACACTCACACAGATACAACAACAACAACCGTCATTCGCCACTAAGTGGCGGTGACGTCACCACGACGCTTGTGCCAGGCCATGTGCACCTTGAGGCCACGTGAAATGTCGAACGCCCGCTGGCAGGAGGTCACGGGGCAGACCCAGCAGGTGCCACGGGTCGACTGACTGAGATGACTGGCTTGATGCACCACCTGTGCCCCCTACTGTGCCAACTTGCTGTGCTTTAGCCACCCGGCGCTCCGCTCGTTGTTGTGAGCGTCGCTGTGCTGACAGCATGCTGTGTGTGTGTCTCTCTCTCTCACCACCAGCTGTGCTGACAGCACGCTGTGTCTGTGTCTCTCTCTCTCACCACTAGCTGTGCTGACAGCATGCTGTGTCTGTGTGTCTCTCTCTCCCCACCAGCTGTGCTGACAGCATGCTGTGTCTGTGTGTCTCTCTCTCTCACCACCAGCTGTGCTGACAGCATGCTGTGTCTGTGTCTCTCTCTCACCACCAGCTGTGCTGACAGCATACTGTGTGTGTGCGTGTCTCTCTCTCTCTCACTACCAGCTGTGCTGAGGGCATGCTGTTTGTGTCTCTCTCTCTCACCACCAGCTGTGCTGACAGCATGCTGTGTCTGTGTCTCTCTCTCCCCACCAGCTGTGCTGACAGCATGCTGTCTCTCTCTCTCTCCCCACCAGCTGTGCTGAGAGCATGCTGTGTCTCTCTCTCACCACCAGCTGTGCTGACAGCATGCTGTGTCTGTGTCTGTGTCTCTCTCACCACCAGCTGTGCTGACAGCATGCTGTGTCTGTCTCTCTCTCCACCAGCTGTGCTGAGAGCATGCTGTGTCTGTGTCTCTCTCTCTCCCCACCAGCTGTGCTGACAGCATGCTGTGTCTGTGTCTCTCTCTCTCACCACCAGCTGTGCTGACAGCATGCTGTGTGTGTCTCTCTCTCCACCTGCTGTGCTGACAGCATGCTGTGTGTCTCTCTCCCTCTCTCACTACCAGCTGTGCTGACAGCATGCTGTGTCTGTGTCTCTCTCTCTCTCCACCAGCTGTGCTGACAGCATGCTGTGTGTGTCTGTCTCTCTCTCACCACCAGCTGTGCTGAGGGCATGCTGTGTCTGTCTCTCTCACCACCAGCTGTGCTGACAGCATGCTGTGTCTGTGTCTCTCTCTCCCCACCAGCTGTGCTGAGGGCATGCTGTGTCTGTGTCTGTGTCTCCCTCTCTCCCCACCAGCTGTGCTGAGGGCATGCTGTGTCTGTCTCTCTCTCCACCAGCTGTGCTGACAGCATGCTGTGTCTGTCTCTCTCACCATCAGCTGTGCTGACAGCATGCTGTGTCTGTGTCTCTCCCCACCAGCTGTGCTGACAGCATGCTGTGTCTGTGTCTCTCTCTCTTACCACCAGCTGTGCTGACAGCATGCTGTGTCTGTCTCTCTCTCTCCCCACCAGCTGTGCTGAGGGCATGCTGTGTCTGTGTCTCCCTCTCTCCCCACCAGCTGTGCTGAGGGCATGCTGTGTCTGTCTCTCTCTCCACCAGCTGTGCTGACAGCATGCTGTGTCTGTCTCTCTCACCACCAGCTGTGCTGACAGCATGCTGTGTCTGTGTCTCTCCCCAGCAGCTGTGCTGACAGCATGCTGTGTCTGTGTCTCTCTCTCTCACCACCAGCTGTGCTGACAGCATGCTGTGTCTGTGTCTCTCTCTCCCCACCAGCTGTGCTGACAGCATGCTGTGTCTCTCTCTCCCCCCACCAGCTGTGCTGACAGCATGCTGTGTCTGTGTCTCTCTCCCCACCAGCTGTGCTGACAGCATGCTGTGTCTCTCTCTCTCACCACCAGCTGTGCTGACAGCATGCTGTGTCTTTCTCACCACCAGCTGTGCTGACAACATGCTGTGTCTGTCTCTCTCTCTCCCCACCAGCTGTGCTGACAGCATGCTGTGTCTGTCTCTCACCACCAGCTGTGCTGACAGCATGCTGTGTCTGTCTCTCTCTCACCACCAGCTGTGCTGAGGGCATGCTGTGTCTCTCTCCCCACCAGCTGTGCTGACAGCATGCTGTGTCTCTCTCTCTCCCCACCAGCTGTGCTGACAGCATGCTGTGTCTGTGTCTCTCTCCACCAGCTGTGCTGACAGCATGCTGTGTCTGTGTCTCTCTCTCCCCACCAGCTGTGCTGACAGCATGCTGTGTCTGTGTCTCTCTCCACCAGCTGTGCTGACAGCATGCTGTGTCTGTGTCTCTCCCCCCACCAGCTGTGCTGACAGCATGCTGTGTCTGTGTCTCTCTCTCTCCCCACCAGCTGTGCTGACAGCATGCTGTGTCTGTGTCTCTCCCCACCAGCTGTGCTGACAGCATGCTGTGTCTCTCTCTCTCTCCCCACCAGCTGTGCTGACAGCATGCTGTGTCTCTCTCTCTCTCCACCAGCTGTGCTGACAGCATGCTGTGTCTGTGTCTCTCTCCACCAGCTGTGCTGAGAGCATGCTGTGTCTGTGTCTCTCTCTCACCACCAGCTGTGCTGACAGCATGCTGTGTCTGTGTCTCTCTCCACCAGCTGTGCTGAGAGCATGCTGTGTCTGTCTCTCTCTCTCCCCACCAGCTGTGCTGACAGCATGCTGTGTCTGTGTCTCTCTCCACCAGCTGTGCTGACAGCATGCTGTGTCTCTCTCCCCACCAGCTGTGCTGACAGCATGCTGTGTCTCCCTCTCTCCCCACCAGCTGTGCTGACAGCATGCTGTGTCTGTGTCTCTCTCTCCCCACCAGCTGTGCTGACAGCATGCTGTGTCTCTCTCTCTCCCCACCAGCTGTGCTGAGAGCATGCTGTGTCTGTCTGTGTCTCTCTCTCTCTCACCAGCTGTGTCTGTGTCTGTCTGTGTCTCTCTCTCTCTCCCCACCAGCTGTGTCTGTGTCTGTGTCTCCCTCTCCCCACCAGCTGTGCTGACAGCATGCTGTGTCTCTCTCTCTCTCCCCACCAGCTGTGCTGACAGCATGCTGTGTCTCTCTCTCCCTCTCACCACCAGCTGTGCTGACAGCATGCTGTGTCTCTCTCTCTCACCAGCTGTGTCTGTCTGTCTGTGTGTCTCTCCCTCTCCCCACCAGCTGTGCTGAGAGCATGCTGTGTCTGTCTGTGTGTCTCTCCCTCTCCCCACCAGCTGTGCTGACAGCATGCTGTGTCTGTCTGTGTCTCTCTCTCCCTCTCCCCACCAGCTGTGCTGACAGCATGCTGTGTCTGTGTCTCTCTCTCTCTCCCACCAGCTGTGCTGACAGCATGCTGTGTCTGTCTGTGTCTCTCTCTCTCCCTCTCCCCACCAGCTGTGCTGAGAGCATGCTGTGCGTGGTGCCCGACATCTCGGCCTTCCGCGAGGGCTGGCGCTGGGTGAGGCAGCCGGTTCAGGTCCCCGTGACGCTCGTGCGCAGTGACGGCGTCATCTATGCCACGAGCCTCACCTTCACCTACACGCCCGAGCCGGGCCCTCGTCCGCACTGCAGCGCCGCCGGTGCCATCCTACGAGGAGGCGGCGGTGGTGGTGGTGGTGCCGGTGCCGGCGCCGGCGCCGGTGGCGGCGCCAACGCCGGCGGAGGAGGAGGAGGGAGTGGTGGGACGACGGAGCAGCAGCAGCAGATGGCGGAGGCGGGGGGAGTCGAGGTGCTGTCGTTGGCACCTCCGCTACAGTAGTGGCGGTGGTGGCGGTGGTGGCGGTGGTGGCGGGAGCGGCATCGGTGTCACAAGGTTCGGGAGAAGCGTCCGGGGTAGCGTCAGGGGTTGTGTCAGGGGTAGCGTCAGGGGAGTAGTGTCAGGGGTAGTGTGAGGGGTAGCGTCAGGGGAGTAGTGTCAGGGGTAGTGTCAGGGGTAGCGTCAGGGGTAGTGTCGGGTAGTGTCGGGAGTAGTGTCGGGGGTTGTGTCAGGGGTAGTGTCAGGGGTTGTGTCAGGGGTAGCGTCAGGGGTAGCGTCAGGGGTAGTGTCAGGGGTAGTGTCAGGGGTAGCGTCAAGGGTAGTGTCAGGGGAGTAGTGTCAGGGGTAGTGTCAGGGGTAACGTCAGGGGTAGCGTCAGGGGTGGTGTCAGGGGTAGCGTCAGGGGTAGTGTCAGGGGTAGTGTCAGGGGTAGTGTCAGGGGTAGTGTCAGGGGTAGTGTCAGGGGTGGTGTCAGGGGTGGTGTCAGGGGTGGCGTCAGGGGTAGCGTCAGGGGTAGCGTCAGGGGTAGCGTCAGGGGTGGCGTCAGGGGTGGCTTCAGGGGTAGCGTCAGGGGTAGCGTCAGGGGAGTAGTGTCAGGGGTAGCGTCAGGGGTAGCGTCAGGGGTAGCGTCAGGAGTAGTGTCAGGGGTAGCGTCAGGGGTAGCGTCAGGGGTAGCGTCAGGGGTAGCGTCAGGGGTAGCGTCAGGGGTAGCGTCAGGAGTAGTGTCAGGGGTAGTGTCAGGGGTAGCGGTGGAAGTGTCAGGGGTAGTGTCAGGGGTAGTCTCAGGGGTAGTGTCAGGGGTGGCGTCAGGGGTAGTGTCAGGGGTAGCGGTGGTAGTGTCAGGGGTAGTGTCAGGGGTAGTGTCAGGGGTAGTGTCAGGAGAGTAGCGTCAGGGTTTGTGTCGGGGGTAGTGTCAGGGGTAGTCTCAGGGGTAGTCTCAGGGGTGGCGTCAGGGGTAGTGTCAGGGGTAGTGTCAGGGGTAGCGTCAAGGGTAGTCTCAGGAGTAGTGTCAGGAGTAGTGTCAGGGGTAGTCTCAGGGGTAGTGTCAGGGGTAGTGTCAGGGGTAGTGGTGGAAGTGTCAGGGGTAGTCTCAGGAGTAGTGTCAGGGGTAGTGTCAGGGGTAGTCTCAGGGGTAGTGTCAGGGGTAGTGTCAGGGGTAGTGTCAGGGGTAGTGGTGGAAGTGTCAGGGGTAGTGTCAGGGGTAGTGTCAGGGGTAGTGTCAGGGGTAGCGGTGGAAGTGTCAGGGGTAGTGTCAGGGGTAGCGTCAAGGGTAGTCTCAGGAGTAGTGTCAGGAGTAGTGTCAGGGGTAGTCTCAGGGCTAGTCTCAGGGGTAGTGTCAGGGGTAGTGTCAGGGGTAGCGGTGGAAGTGTCAGGGGTAGTGTCAGGGGTGGCGTCAGGGGTAGTGTCAGGGGTAGCGGTGGAAGTGTCAGGGGTAGTGTCAGGGGTTAGTGTCAGGGGTAGTGTCAGGGGTAGTGTCAGGGGTAGTGTCAGGGGTAGTGTCAGGGGTAGTGTCAGGGGTAGTGTCAGGGGAGTAGTGTCAGGGGTAGTGTCAGGGGTAGTGTCAGGGGTAGCGTCAGGGGTAGTGTCAGGGGTAGCGTCAGGGGTAGCGTCAGGGGTAGTGTCAGGGGTAGTCTCAGGAGTAGTGTCAGGGGTAGTGTCAGGGGTAGTGTCAGGGGTAGTCTCAGGAGTAGTGTCAGGGGTAGTGTCAGGGGTGGCGTCAGGGGTAGTGTCAGGGGTAGTGTCAGGGGTAGTGTCAGGGGTAGTCTCAGGGGTAGTCTCAGGGGTAGTGTCAGGGGTAGTGTCAGGGGTAGGGTCAGGGGTAGTCTCAGGGGTAGTGTCAGGGCTAGCGTCAGGGGTAGTGTCAGGGGTAGTGTCAGGGGTAGTGGTGGAAGTGTCAGGGGTAGTCTCAGGAGTAGTGTCAGGGGTAGTGGTGGAAGTGTCAGGGGTAGTGTCAGGGGTAGTGTCAGGGGTAGTGTCAGGGCTAGCGTCAGGGCTAGCGTCAGGGGTAGTGTCAGGGGTGGCGTCAGGGGTAGTGGTGTAAGCGTCACTTGAAGTATGAGAAGCAGCAGCAGCAGCAGCTTCTTCATCATGAGCAGCATCAGCAGAAGCGGCAGCAGCATCGGAATCATGTTCAGCGGCATCAGCGGAAGCATCGGAATCATGAGTGGCATCAGTGGCATCAGCAGAATCATGAGCGGCATCAGTGGCATCAGCAGAATCATGAGCGGCATCAAGCGGCATCAGCAGAAGCTTCGGATTCATGTTCAGCGGCATCAGCGGAAGCTTCTGAATCATGAGCAGCGGCATCAGCGGAAGCTTCGGAATCATGAGCAGCGGTATCAGCGGAAGCTTCGGAATCATGATCAGCGGAAGCTTCGGAATCATGATCAGCGGAAGCTTCGGAATCATGATCAGCGGAAGCTTCGGAATCATGATCAGCGGAAGCTTCGGATTCATGTTCAGCGGCATCAGCGGAAGCTTCTGAATCATGAGCAGCGGTATCAGCGGAAGCTTCGGATTCATGTTCAGCGGCATCAGCGGAAGCTTCTGAATCATGAGCAGCGGTATCAGCGGAAGCTTCTGAATCATGAGCAGCGGTATCAGCGGAAGCTTCGGAATCATGATCAGCGGAAGCTTCGGAATCATGATCAGCGGAAGCTTCGGAATCATGATCAGCGGAAGCTTCGGATTCATGTTCAGCGGCATCAGCGGAAGCTTCGGAATCATGAGCAGCGGCATCAGCGGAAGCTTCGGAATCATGATCAGCGGAAGCTTCGGATTCATGTTCAGCGGCATCAGCGGAAGCTTCGGATTCATGTTCAGCGGCATCAGCGGAAGCTTCGGAATCATGATCAGCGGAAGCTTCGGAATCATGATCAGCGGAAGCTTCGGAATCATGATCAGCAAGCATCATCATCATCATCATCGGGCTGTGTCAGCGTGCGCGATGGCCGAGCGCACAGGCAATCAACGCGGACGCCTATAAAAAGGGGGCGGGGCAGGATGTGGAAGGGGAGGGGCCTCCCCTTCCCAAGGACCCCCCCCCCATCCACTTCTCTGCAGCGGAAGGACCCCAACCTAGGGGCGTCCGCCGTGACTATATTAGCGTCCACCGGGTGCCTGTCAAAAAAAAATACAAACAAACACAAAAAAATTTATATATATATTTTTTAAATCGCTCGTCGTTATTTTGTTAATATTAATATTGTTAAAATGTTTGTTGCCGTCGTTGTTGTTTATACCGGTCTAGTTTAATGTTATTATTATTTTTTATCACGGTTATTTTTGCCCCTTATTTAATGTAATGGCAGACGGCGTCATTGGATGCGCTTTGTTACGTGTGTGTGTGTGTGTACACGCGTGTGTGTCTGTGTGCGTGTGTGTGCGCGTGTGTGTGTACAAGCGTGTGTGTGTGTGTGCGTGTGTGTCTGTGTGTGTGTGCGTGTGTGTGTGTGGGCGTGTGTATGTGTGTGCGTGTGTGTGTGTACACGTGTGTGTGGGTGTGTGTGTGTGTGCGCGTGTGTGTGCGTGTGTGTGTGTGCGTGTGTGTGTGCGTGTGTGTGCGTGTGTGTGTGTGTGTGCGCGTGTGTGCGTGTGTGTGTGCGTGTGTGTGTGTACGCGCGTGTGTGTGTGTGTGTGCGTGCATGTGTGTGCGTGTACACGCGTGTGTGCGTATGTGCGCGTGTGTGTGTGTGCGCGTGTGTGCGCGTGTGTGTGTGCGTGTGCGCGTGTGTGTGTGCGTGTGTGTGTGCGTGCCGAGCTAGATAGGAGCGGTGGCGCAGCGATTAGCGTCCGCGAACACGGCGCGAGTCTCCCGAGTTGGATTCCCGCTCACGGCCGCCGCCAACACAATGTCGAGTAGCTGACAACCCGGGCCCCCTGGACCTCCTCCCCCCTCCCTCACTCCCCACCTCCCTCACCCCTCCCTCTACCCCCTAGGCCCACTCAGCCTCGAATGAGTCCCCGTTGTAGCGGTGCGTGGTGAACGCGGGTGGGTGGTGGTGTTGTTGTTGTTGTTGTGGCGTACCCACAGTGCCGGTAGCCATCGCAGGAGGTGCTGCTGCTGCTGCTGCTAAGGTAGCACTTGCACCCTGTATTGAGGCTACGCGGGGTGGTGTGGGTGGGTGGTGTGGGTGGTGTGGGTGGTGTGGGTGGGGGTGGTGTGGGTGGTGTGGGTGGGTGGTGTAGGTGGTGGTGGGTGGTGGTGGGTGGTGGTGGGTGGGTGTGGGTGGGTGGTGTGGGTGGGTGGTGTGGGTGGGTGGGTGTGGGTGGGGTGGGTGTGGGTGGGGGTCTTTGCCTCGCGGCCGTGCCTGGCCGGAGGGCGGAGGCGCGACGCTGGCAACAACGGGCCGAGCGCCGGGCCGATAGAACGCGGCGAGTTGCCTCGCGGGGAATCCATCGCTCGTCTCGGTCGGTCGACCCGTGGGCACCTGCTGGGTCTGTCCCGAGACCTCCTGCACCTAGCCTGGCACAGTAGGGGGCGGTAGGCGGTAGGCGGTACAGCCGGCGGTGGTGCATCCGCACCGCACGTCTCGGAAGTCGACCCATGGCACCTGCTGGTGTCGGGGTGCCGTACTTGCGAACTGTTCGCCTCGCGAGCTTTTTTGAGACGCCAACTCGCCTGCTCTACCTGCACCGCCACCAAATCGCCCGCCCGTACATCCGGGTGTCTTCCGTTCTGAGCGGGAGGAGAGCGAGAGAGCGGGGAGGTTCAAGCGCTGGCGGTCGTTCCTGTGAACCCGTAACGTGATGAACGTCGAGATTTGTGAGGGGGGTGTAACGGGGGGTAGGGCACTGATCAGTGAACAGGGGTTGACAGGTGTGGAGAGTTTCTCTCTCGCTCTCACTCTCTATCGCTCTCTCCTCGTGTGTGTTTCTCTCTCGCTCTCTGTCTCTCTCCCTTGTCTCTCTCTCCCTGTGTCTCCATCTCTCTCCCTGTCTCTCTCTCCCTGTGTCTCCATCTCTCTCCCTGTCTCTCTCTCTCTCCCTGTCTCTCTCTCCCTGTGTCTCCATCTCTCTCCCTGTCTCTCTCTCTCCCTGTCTCTCTCTCCCTGTCTCTCTCTCTCTCCCTGTCTCTCTCTCCCTGTGTCTCCATCTCTCTCCCTGTCTCTCTCTCTCCCTGTCTCTCTCTCTCCCTGTGTCTCCATCTCTCTCCGTCTCTCTCTCTCCCTGTCTCTCTCTCCCTGTGTCTCCATCTCTCTCCCTGTCTCTCTCTCTCCCTGTCTCTCTCTCCCTGTGTCTCCATCTCTCTCCCTGTCTCTCTCTCTCTCCCTGTTTCTCTCTCCCTGTGTCTCCATCTCTCCCCCTGTCTGTCTCTCTCCCTGTCTCTCTCTCTCCCTGTCTCTCCCTGTGTCTCCATCTCTCTCCCTGTCTCTCTCTCTCCCTGTCTCTCCATCTCTCTCCCTGTGTCTCTGTCTCTCTCCCTGTCTCTCTCTCCCTGTGTCTCCATCTCTCTCCCTGTCTCTCCATCTCTCTCCCTGTGTCTCTGTCTCTCTCCCTGTCTCTCTCTCCCTGTCTCTATGTCTCTCTCCCTGCCTGTCTCTCTCACAGTCTCTCTCTATATCTGTGAACCCGTAACGGATGAACGTCGAGATTTGTGAGGGGGGTAACGGGGGTAGGGCACTGATCAGTGAACAGGGGTTGACAGGTGTGGAGAGTTTCTCTCTCTATCTCTCCTTCCCTGTGTGTCTCTCTCTCTCGCCCTGCCTCTCTCCCTGTCTCTCCCTGTCTCTCCATCTCTTTCCCTGTGTCTCTGTCTCTCTCCCTATCTCCCTGTCTCCATCTCTCTCCCTGTCTCTCTGTCTCTATCCCTGTGTCTCTATCTCTCTCCCTGTCTATCTCTCTCACCCTGTCTCTATCTCTCTGTCTTTCTCCCTGTGTGTGTGTCTTTCTCTCCCTGTCTCTCTCTCTCGCCCTGCCTCTCTCCCTGTCTCTCAGTCTCTCTCTCTCTCTATACCTGTGAGCCCGTAACGTGATGAACGTCGAGATTTGTAAGGGGTGTAACGGGGTGACCGTGAATTTGTCCGTAACGAGGGATCCGGCCGGTATGAGCGGTGGTTGTCCTTACTAAGTAAGCTTCCAAATCAAGGTTGGTGGGTGTCCTGTGCAGTGACCCCAGCGTTTCCGCCTCGCCCCTCTCTCTCGCCTGCCGCTAATGTTGTTGTTGTTGTTTAAGTGGCGCGCGCCATACGCAGCACGCTTGGGACGGGACGGGGAGTCGACGTTTAGGACTTGCGAACTCGGATCGGCCTTTCGGACAGACCCCCATCACCAGCACCATCACCATCACCAGCATCATCATCACCAGCACCATCATCACCAGCACCATCATCAGCATCATCACCAGCACCAGGATCAGCACCAGCATCATCAGCATCATCACCAGCACCAGCATCATCATCAGCATCACCAGCATCATCATGAGCATCACCAGCACCACCAGCACCATCTGCATCACCGGCACCATCATCATCATCCCCAATCATCATCACCAGCATCACCATCACCACCAGCACCAACAGCATCACCAGCACCACCATCATCACCAGCACCATCAGCATCATCATCACCATCATCACCATCAGCATCATCACCAGCATCATCACCACCATCAGCATCATCAGCATCAGCATCACCACCATCACTCTCTCACAACCTCCCACTCCTCTCTACCTGCCCACCCCCATCGCCTCCATCGCCTCCACCTCCAATGCGACCTTCGACGAAGCAGCAACCAAAAAAAAACTCCCTCCACTCCCTCCCTCCCCCTCCCTCCCCTCCCCCCGCCTCCACTCCCTCCCCTCCCCCGCCTCCACTCCACCCCCTCCCCTCCCTCCCCTCCCTCCCCTCCATCCACTCCCTCCCCTCCCTCCCCTCCCCTCCCTCCCTCCTCCTCCCTCCCCTCCCTCCTCCTCCCTCCCCTCCCTCCTCCTCCCTCCCCTCCCTCCACTCCCGTCCCCTTCCTCCCCTCCCGTCCCCTTCCTCCCCTCCTTCGCCTCCCTCGCCTCCCTCCTCCACCCTCTCCTCCCTCCTCCACCCCTCCTCCACCCTCCCCTCCCTCCTCCCTCCACCTTTCCTCCCTCGACGCATCCTATCGAAGGGCTCTCTCGCGCGTGTGGCCTTAAATAGAAAACGGGGGGGGGGGGGTACCCTCGCACACACACACACGTACACACATGTACATGTGTTCACACACGTGTGTGTGTGCATTTGTTCACACACGTTCACACACATGCATGTGTTCACACACGTGTGTGTGCGTGTGTTCACACACATGTGTGTGCATGTGTTCACACACGTTCACACACGTGTGTGTGCGCGTGTGTGTACCTGGGGCATATGTCTATGGAACGTGATTTGAGGTACCCGAGTTTGTATATTTGGAGTTTGCGCGTCTCTCATCGTCGTCTCTGTCTCTCTCTGTGTCTCTCTCTGTCTCTCTCTCTGTCTCTCTCTCTGTCTCTCTGTGTCTCTTTGTCTCTGTCTCTCTCTCTGTGTCTCTATGTCTCTTTGTCTCTCTGTCTCTTTGTGTCTCTCTGTTTCTGTCTCTCTCTTTGTGTCTCTCTCTGTCTCTCTCTCTTTGTCTCTCTCTGTATCTCTGTCTCTCTGTGTCTCTCTGTCTCTCTCTGTCTCTGTCTCTCTGTGTCTCTTTGTCTCTGTCTCTCTGTCTCTCTCTCTCTCTGTGTCTCTCTGTCTCTCTGTGTCTCTTTGTCTCTGTCTCTCTCTGTCTCTCTCTCTGTGTCTCTATGTCTCTTTGTCTCTCTCTGTCTCTTTGTGTCTCTCTGTTTCTGTCTCTCTTTGTGTCTCTCTCTGTGTCTTTGTCTCTCACTTTGTGTCTCTCTCTGTCTCTCTCTTTGTCTCTCTCTGTATCTCTCTGTCTCTCTGTGTCTCTCTGTGTCTCTGTGTCTCTCTGTCTCTCTCTCTGTCTCTCTCTGTCTCTCTCTCTGTTTCTCTCTGTCTCTCTCTGTCTCTGTCTGTCTCTCTGTCTCTCTCTGTGTATCTCTGTCTCTCTGTCCCGTTTGTCTCTGTCTCTGTGTCTCTCTCTGTGTCTCTCTCTGTGTCTCTCTCTGTCCCGTGTCTCTCTCTGTCTCTGTGTCTCTCTCCCATTCACGATTAGAGTCGACATCACCACTCGTTTGTATGAATTGGCCGCCCGCTATATATTTCCACGCCGCGATGATGATGATGATATCACCTCAACTTGGTTGAGGTGATATCAAACACGCGACCTGGCCGTCGTTCGTGATTGCCAGGTCACGTGTTTAAATAGAAAGCTCTACAGGAGCTCGGTGAGACCTTACATCTTGTGACAATAAAACATTGTTTAGTTCTAGTATTCTCGATAAGCATGGGTCTCTGTGGGTCTGTATGGGTCTCTCTGGTTCTATTAAAGTCCCCAGGGTATCTGTGGATGTCTCTGAGTGTGGGGCTCTGTGGGTCTCTATGGGGCTCTGTGGGTCTCTGTGGGTCTCTGTGGGTCTGTGATTCTATTAAAGTCCCCCGGGTATATGTGGGTGTCTCTGAGTGTGGATCTCTGTGGGTCTCTGTGGGTCTCTATGGGTCTCTGTGGGTCTCTATGGGTCTCTGTGGGTCTGTGATTCTATTAAAGTCCCCCGGGTATATGTGGGTGTCTCTGAGTATGGGTCTCTGTGGGTCTCTATGGGGCTCTGTGGGGCTCTATGGGTCTCTGTGGGTCTCTATGGGTCTCTGTGGGTCTCTATGGGTCTCTGTGGGTCTCTATGGGTCTCTGTGGGTCTCTATGGGTCTCTGTGGATCTCTATGGGTCTCTGTGGGTCTCTATGGGTCTCTGTGGGTCTCTATGGGTCTCTGTGGGTCTCTATGGGTCTCTGTGGGTCTGTGATTCTATTCAAGTCCCCAGATATCCTGTGGGTATCTCTTGAGTATGGGTCTCTATGATTCTATTAAAGTCCCCCGGATATCTGTGAGTGTCTCTGAGTATGGGTCTCTATGGGTATCTATGGGTCTCTGTGGGTCTCTATGGGTCTCTGTGGGTCTCTGTGGGTCTCTTTGATTCTATTCAAGTCCCCAGATATATGTGGGTGTCTCTGAGTATGGGTCTCTGTGGGTCTCTATGGGTCTCTGTGGGTCTCTGTAGGTCTCTATGGGTCTCTGTGAGTCTCTATGGGGCTCTGTGGGTCTCTATGAGTCTCTGTGGGTCTCTGTAGGTCTCTATGGGTCTCTGTGGGTCTCTATGGGTCTCTATGGGTCTCTATGATTCTATTAAAGTCCCCCGGATATCTGTGAGTGTCTCTGAGTATGGGTCTCTGTGGGTCTCTATGGGTCTCTGTGGGTCTCTATGGGTCTCTATGGGTCTCTGTGGGTCTGTGATTCTATTCAAGTCCCCAGATATCTGTGGGTGTCTCTGAGTATGGGGCTCTGTGGGTCTCTATGAGTCTCTGTGGGTCTCTGTAGGTCTCTGTGGGTCTCTATGGGTCTCTGTGGGCCTGTATGAGTCTCTCTGGTTCTATTCAAGTCCCCAGATATCTGTGGATGTCTCTGAGTATGGGGCTCTGTGGGTCTCTATGGGTCTCTGTGGGTCTCTATGGGTCTCTGTGGGTCTCTATGGGGCTCTGTGGGTCTCTATGGGTCTCTGTGGGTCTGTGATTCTATTCAAGTCCCCAGATATCCTGTGGGTATCTCTTGAGTATGGGTCTCTGTGGGTCTCTATGGGTCTCTGTGGGTCTCTATGGGTCTCTGTGGGTCTCTATGATTCTATTAAAGTCCCCAGATATCCTGTGGGTGTCTCTGAGTATGGGTCTCTGTGGGTCTCTATGGGTCTCTGTGGGTCTCTATGGGTCTCTGTGGGTCTGTGATTCTATTCAAGTCCCCAGATATCCTGTGGGTATCTCTTGAGTATGGGTCTCTATGATTCTATTAAAGTCCCCCGGATATCTGTGGTTGTGTCTCTGAGTATGGGTCTCTGTGGGTCTCTATGGGTCACTGTGGGTCTCTACGAGTCTGTAGTAACAGGCGTTTAGAGTATCCGGGCTGCCGCTCTGAATATCCCACGCGATGATGATGATGATGGTATCAGGCCACTTGGCTGAGCCCCTCCTGTCATTTGCGATGCTGCATCGCAGCGTGGAGTGGTGGACAATAATTAACGTAACTTGTATCAGCCATCGAGATCTTCTCGTTTCGTCTGATCCCACTGCATTGTTAACGGGAATAAGCGCGGTCTGCCCTCTCCGTCGATTCATTGGCAAGCGGTCCATTGTTTTTGCTAATGGCCCACACTGAATGATAGCAGCATCAACTAAGTGGGCTGATATCGTCATCGTGTGGACACGTACAGCAGTCTTAACGCATAGAGACACGTAGAGATACATAGAGACACATAGAGATACATAGAGACCCATAGAGATACATAGAGACCCATAGATACATAGAGATACATAGAGACACAGAGATACGTAGAGACCCGTAGAGACACATAGAGACACAGAGATACATAGAGACACATAGAGATACATAGAGACACATAGAGATACATAGAGACACATAGAGACAGAGATATATAGAGACACATAGAGACACATAGAGACACGTAGAGCACAGAGACACGTAGAGACCCATAGAGACACAGAGATATATAGAGACACAGAGACACATAGAGACACATAGAGATACATAGATACATAGAGACACACAAACACACAGAGATACATAGAGATACATAGACACATAGAGACTCAGAGACCCATAGAGACACATAGAGATACATAGAGATAGACAAACACACATAGAGACACATAGAGATGCACAAACACATAGAGACACAGAGATACATCGACACATAGAGATACATAGAGATACATCGATACATAAAGACGCATAGAGATACATAGAGATTCATCGACACATAGAGATACATAGAGATACATCGATACATAAAGACGCATAGAGATACATAGAGATTCATCGACACATAGAGATACATAGAGACACATAGAGATACATCGACACAGAGATACATAGAGATACTTTGAGACACACAGAGACACATAGAGACACAGAGACCCACAGATTTAACTAAAACTAAACCATTTTTTTTTTAAAAAATTGCCAGGATAAGGGTCCCCTACTGAACTACTGTGTAACTCTTTTCTCTTTTAAGAAAGCGACCACCCTGGCTATCACGAACGATAGCAGCATGAATGAAGTGGCTGAAATCATCATCATGGTGTGGAAATATATAGCAGCGTTACGTCGATTCTATAATTGCGGCAGGGAGAAACTGAAGAAAAATCCACGCGGCCACGGGGAGAGACAGAGAGAGAGACGCAAACTCCAAATATACAGCAGCAGCAGTCGGTATGGTCAGAGGGCGGGATCGAATCCACGACGTCCTGTACACCAGGCGAGGTAGTCAACATCTCCTAGCCACTGTGATGATGAGAGAGACGCAAACTCCAAATATACAGCAGCAGCAGCAGTCGGTATCGTCAGAGGGCGGGATCGAACCCGCGACCTCCTGTACACCAGGCGAGGTAGTCAACATCTAGCCACTGTGATGATGATGATGATGAGAGAAACGCAAACTCCAAATATACAGCAGCAGCAGTCGGTATCGTAAGAGGGCGGGATCGAACCCACGACCTCCTGTACACCAGGCGAGGTAGTTAACATCTAGCCACTGTGATGATGATGATGATGAGAGAAACGCAAACTCCAAATATACAGCAGCAGCAGCAGTCGGTATCGTCAGAGGGCGGGATCGAACCCACGACCTCCTGTACACCAGGCGAGGTAGTCAACATCTAGCCACTGTGATGATGATGAGAGAAACGCAAACTCCAAATCTACAGCAGCAGCAGCAGTCGGCATCGCCATGGGTCTGGATCGAACCCACGACCTCCTGCGTACCGGGCGAGGTAGTCAACATCTGCCTACGTTTTTGTGTGCTGGTCCGTTCTCTCGCGGTGGCGAGGAGATGTCAACTGCCTCGCCTGGTCGACATGAAGTATCTTCTTTGGTTCTTTCGGTGAAGTCACCACCACGTAGAATGAGAATAAAATAATAAAATAAAACAATAAAATTCTCACGACGTTTCGGCCACAACACAAGCGGCCTTCTTCAGGTGAAAGGAACAGACCTGTCGGGACGACAGAGCTTCAATGAACGTTGTTAAGATTCGTAGCGTCTTTTAACTTCTCTAAAACCAGCTTAAAAGTCGCTACGAATCTTGACAACGTTCACTGAAGCTCTGTTGTCCCGACAGGCCTGTTCCTTTCACCTGAAGAAGGCCACTTGTGTTGTGGCCGAAACGTCGTGAGAATTTTATTGCTTTATTTTATTCTTTTATTCTCATTCTACGCGGTGGTGACTTTACCGAAAGAACCAAAGAAGACGAATCCTTGCAGTCACGAAAGCCTTAAATCGAGACGTGAAGTTTATTTGGAGTCTGCGTCTCTCTGTGTGTGTGTGCGTCTCTGTGTGTGTGTGTGTGCGTCTCTCTCTGTGTGTGTGTGCGCATCTCTCTCTCTGTGTGTGTGTGTGTGCGTCTCTGTGTGTGTGTGTGTGTGCGTCTCTCTCTGTGTGTGTGTGCGCATCTCTCTCTCTCTGTGTGTGTGCGTCTCTGTGTGTGTGTGTGCGTCTCTCTCGCTCTGTGTGGTGTGTGCGTCTCTCTGTGTGTGTGTGCGTCTCTGTCTATCTCTGTGTGTGTGTGCGTCTATCTCGCTCTGTGTGTGTGTGTGCGTCTCTGTCTATCTCTGTGTGTGTGTGTCTCTCTCGCTCTGTGTGTGCGTCTCTCTCTCTCTCTGTGTGTGTGTGCGTCTCTCTATCTCTCTGTGTGTGTGTCTCTCTCTATCTCTGTGTGTGTGTGCGTCTATCTCGCTCTGTGTGTGTGTGTGCGTCTCTCTCTATCTCTCTGTGTGTGTGTCTCTCTCTATCTCTGTGTGTGTGTGTGCGTCTCTCTATCTCTCTCTGTGTGTGCGTCTCTCTCGCTCTGTGTGTGTGCGTCTCTCTCTATCTCTGTGTGTGTGTGTGCGTCTCTCTCGCTCTGTGTGTGTGTCTCTCTCTATCTCTCTGTGTGTGTGCGTCTCTCTCGCTCTGTGTGTGTGCGTCTCTCTCTATCTCTGTGTGTGTGTGTGCGTCTCTCTCGCTCTGTGTGTGTGTGTCTCTCTCTATCTCTCTGTGTGTGTGCGTCTCTCTATCTCTCTGTGTGTGTCTCTCTCTATCTCTCTGTGTGTGTCTCTCTCTCTCTGTGTGTGTCTCTCTCTATCTCTGTGTGTGTGTGCGTCTCTCTATCTCTGTGTGTGTGTGTCTCTCTATCTCTGTGTGTGTGCGTCTCTCTATCTCTGTGTGTGTGTGTCTCTCTATCTCTGTGTGTGTGTGCGTCTCTCTATCTCTGTGTGTGTGTGCGTCTCTCTATCTCTCTGTGTGTGTCTCTCTCTATCTCTCTGTGTGTGTCTCTCTCTCTCTGTGTGTCTCTCTCTATCTCTGTGTGTGTGTGCGTCTCTCTCTATCTCTGTGTGTGCGTCTCTATCTCTCTCTGTGTGTGCGTCTCTCTCTCGATCTCTCTGTGTGTGTGTGTGCGTCTCTCTATCTCTCTGTGTGTGTGCGTCTCTCTATCTCTGTGTGTGTGTGTGCGTCTATCTCTCTCTGTGTGTGCGTCTCTCTCGCTCTGTGTGTGTGCGTCTCTCTCGCTCTGTGTGTGTGTCTCTCTCTATCTCTCTCTGTGTGTGTGTCTCTCTCTCGCTCTGTGTGTGTGTCTCTCTCTCGCTCTGTGTGTGTGTCTCTCTCTATCTCTCTGTGTGTGTGTGTCTCTCTCTATCTCTCTGTGTGTGTGTGTGCGTCTCTCTATCTCTCTCTGTGTGTGCGTCTCTCTCTCGCTCTGTGTGTGTGTCTCTCTCTATCTCTGTGTGTGTGTGTGCGTCTCTCTCTCGCTCTGTGTGTGTGTCTCTCTCTATCTCTCTGTGTGTGTGTGTGTCTCTCTCTATCTCTGTGTGTGTGTGTGTCTCTCTCTCTATCTCTCTGTGTGTGTGTGTGTCTCTCTCTCTATCTCTGTGTGTGTCTCTCTCTCTATCTCTCTGTGTGTGTGCGTCTCTCTCTCTATCTCTCTGTGTGTGTGTGCGTCTCTCTCTCTCTCTGTGTGCGTCTCTCTATCTCTCTGTGTGTGTGCGTCTCTCTATCTCTCTGTGTGTGTGTGTGCGTCTCTCTCTCTCTGTGTGTGTGCGTCTCTCTCTATCTCTCTGTGTGTGTGTCTCTCTCTATCTCTCTGTGTGTGTGTCTCTATCTCTCTGTGTGCGTGTCTCTCTCTATCTCTGTGTGTGTGTGTCTCTCTCTCTATCTCTGTGTGTGTGTGCGTCTCTCTATCTCTGTGTGTGTGTGTCTCTCTATCTCTCTGTGTGTGTGTGTCTCTATCTCTGTGTGTGTCTCTCTATCTCTCTCTGTGTGTGTGCGTCTCTCTCGCTCCGTGATGGTCACTGCTTGTGGACTTCTCTCTACGGCTACCCCGGTTGTTCCCCTCCCTCACCCCCTCACCCCTCACACATTTACAGTCGACGCGAGGCCGTGGGGGGGGGCTATCGTTTGCGATGGCCGTGATCGCTACTGAAGAGCGGAGCTGCATGGCTGTATGTAGAGCTCAGTGCGGGGGGGGGGGGGTGGTGGTTGGGGAGCCTTAACTTGTTTAATAATAAAAAAATTAAAAGTAGTTTTTTAAAAATAGTTTTTTATAGTTATTCCCTCATCGCAGCGCCACCGTGTGGATGCGTGCGGTGCTCTTAGACCCTAGCGGCGGTGGAGGTGGTGGTGGAGGTGGTGGTGGCGGCTCACAAATCCTCAAGTTCTGGACAAAAGTCCCAATCGGTTAACGCCTCCGGCGGGCAAGGCTGCGTTGGCTGGATCGTGTAGCCCGCATGCCCAGCCGCCGCATGCCCCAACAGCATTTTGCTCGGCCGGATAGAGGGGGTCTAAACGGGCGCGGCAACGGGCTAGAGAAGAGACGGAGTGACGTGGTACAGGAGGACGTGGAGCTGAGTGGACTTGCCGATGACCGGTAACCAGCGGTGTCAAGATCGGCCTCTGCGGAGGAGGAGGAGGCTCGTGATGGACGCTGCTGCTGCTGCTGCTGGGTAGTTGGGAGGCGGTCGCCCTCCAGCAACAAGAACGGAGGACAGAGGAGCGACGCTCACAACAACGAGCCGAGCGCCGGGCGGATAAAACACAGCGAGTTGAACACAGTTGGGGGCCCAGCTGGTGGTACATCTCGCCGGTCACCTCATTCAAGTCGACCCATGGCACTTGCTGGGTCTGTCCCGTGACCTCCTGTCGGCGGGCGTCTTGACACTTCACGTGGCCTTAAAGTGCACTTAGCCTGGCACAGGTGCCGTGGTGAT